TCAAAATGAAGATAGGAAAGTGTAGAATAAGATTATACCTATTTGGAAGCCCAATGGTTGTCGGAGATGGCCGGAAAAATAGCCTCAAAGTTGACTGGTCTGAGGGAAAACTGGAAAACTCGCCGGAAATTGGGTAAACTTTAAACGTTCATAACTTCTTCAATACTCAACGAAATTAAGTGATTCAAAAACGAAAATCATAAATCTCGACAAGAAAAAGAGAATGATACCTTTTTAGATGGCTAAATCACCGTGGTTTGGCTGGAAAATGGCTCAAAATTGAATGTCTTGATTTCAAGTTAGCCACTTTCGAGCCGTTTTCCAGCCACAACACGGAGAATTAGCCATAAAAGAAGGTTCCATTCTCTTCTTCTTGTCTAGAAGTATGATTTTCATTTTTGAATCACTTGATTTTGTTGAGTATTGAAGAAGTTATAAACGTCTAAAATTTACCCAGTTTTTGGCTAGTTTTCCAGTTTTCTCTCGGACCAGTCAACTTTGAGGCTATTTTCCGGCCATCTCTGTCATGCCCTGATCCCAACATACGTCCAGGATCGACACGTGACATCATCAAATATCTGTATCTCTAACATACCCAACCTCCGGAATATGTACAAAGCATAACTCAATATTCGAATTGCGTTGCAATTTTTGTATATTTCATTGCTGCATCTAACCTCTTCGTTAGACTGCCTACGTACCCTAAACATGGATCAAGCCATTCGTAGTTCATCAATTCACTACACTCCAATATGCATCAATTAAATTGCTCTGTCTCAACAATATATCACAATGCATAACATGCAATATTACAAGGGACAAATGATGGAGCATAATCATATTCACTAGTCATAAAGTTCAACGAATCTAATCATAATTACCATAACCAACATCATTCCATAATCACATCAATCAATAATGCCAACCATCACATCATCAATAACACATACAACACGTCGAAATGCGGGGCTAGAGCGACACAGTTCGGCCGAAGACTACATATATGGAAAAGGGGATTTTGGACCCTCACTCAACGGAATCCAAATCAGGATACAATTCCGGACCATCACTCAACGGAATTGCGAAATAGAAAGGATTCCGGACCATCACTCAACGGAATCCAAATTAGGATACGATTCCGGACCATCACTCAACGGAATCCAAATCAGGATACGATTTCGGACCATCACTCAACGAAATCCAAATCAAGATACAATTACGGACCATCACTCAACGGAATTGCGGAGTATAAGGGATTCTAGACCATCACTCAACGGAATCCAAATTAGGATACAATTCCGGACCATCACTCAAAGGAATTGCAGAGTAGAAGGGATTTCGGACCATCACTCAACGGAATCCAAGCAGAACTCAGTTCTGGACCACTTAACAGAACCGAACGGAAGTCCAAGAAGCATAACTACGGCTTGAAGAAACAAGACAGGATTCAAGTTACTCAATTCACGTAGACTCAACGAAACGAAACAATATCGAGCAACAAATCCCCATCACAATGGGTTATCGGTCCATTAACCTCACATAGCAATTCAACATGCATTTTAATCACATGTCACACCATTTCCAATACACAAGTCAAATCACATTTCACTACATCATACCAATCACTATGCTTTCAACATTATATTTCAATCCATAGCTTGTAACATATCAAGGAATCACGAAGCACAATATTAATATTTAATTACGTTAATCAATCAATGAGATAGCATATCATTTCACGAATTTAATTAAAGAACTCTACATAATTCCATACTTGGGTTATGAATAATAACATGGTAATTCTAATTTGTATTCACAAGATCTATTGTGGGTAATTCTCATTCACTCGAATCTAGGATTCTAAGATAACCTTATGGAAATGAGCAAGAGCAAGGATTCCGGACCACTCAATGTAATCCAACAACATCGGGTTCCGGACTACTCAACGGAACCAAAATATCAAATGGTTTTTCATAATTTACCCAGACCTGTCCCATGTGAAATAAGTGTCTACATCATGGAAATGGTGCATCGGGCAAACAACAACCTGGATAAGTTGCGAAGCTCGTGTGAGCGACAATAATACAAGTATGTGATAATAATGATAAAACCAACCATCAATCACAGTTTATAAACTTTGAATATAATCATTCATAAGAAATTAATACCAAACCTTTTCAAACTCCGAAGTAGTCACACAGACACCCAACAACTCTTCTAAATCAAACTCAAAGTTCTCAAAGCCAAAATTCACGGATACATTCAAAACTAGAGCTAGAGAGATGTCGTTCGGCCGAAGCCTACACAAGTAACCAAATAGGAAGTGGCCCCCCAAAGCGGATCAACCAAGCAGAGTCACCCCTGAGAAAGTAACCAAATAGGTAGTGACCCCCCAATGCGGATTAACCAAGCAAAGTCACCCCTGAGAAAGTAACCAAATAGGTAGTGACCCCCCAATGCAGATTAACCAAGCAGAGTCAATCCTACAACTATTGGAAAGTGATCACCCAATGTGGATTAACCAAGCATGATCACCTCTAAATGTGTATGGCCATACCTAGGATATAAGGATCGCCCAACACGGATTAACCAAGCGCAATCCACAAATAGTATGGTCCCCTAACGTGGATTAACCAAGCAGGACCATCCAGTACCATTGCTACGTGATGCAGACTTAATGTCACCTAACCCCATGACACTAGGGTAATGGTCCTTTACAATCCATCATTTTTCTCAAACCATAAAATATATATATTTCAAAACACAATCCATCAACAGTTCAAATATCCAAGTCACATAATTCACTTTATTTTCAACATGATACCTCCATCCACAACATGTAGCATATCAAATAATTAACGAAGCACAATATTATTCTCAAGCCACATTGATCAACTAAAATAATCATAATAATAACAATCATATCCAGCGTCATTCCACAATCCTGTCAATTCATCATTTCATGCCTCAAAGATGCATGATCTTAGCATTTAACTACGTTAATCAATCAATGCGAAAACATATCATACAAATCATACGTATCTAACCACATTTCATAAACGTTTCCAAGCTACTGTCGATCCACAATTAATAAACATAGATCGATGCTAAAAACAAAAATAACAATTCAATAGAAAACACATTTAATAAACAAGTATAACTCAATATGGTGCCACTAATACATATATCGAGACACACGTCACTGGGAATGACACGTCATCGTGATGAGCCAACTAAGCTCCATCAAGCCTCAACAACAAACTAGAGATAAGCGACACTCTAGAGTAGAGCACATTGACTAGAACATCAACCGTCGATAAGGTAGGTCCATTAAGGTCAACAACCTAAGGTTATTCAATCTGGGAGATCCGCACATCGGATTTCTAATCTGAAAGTTCTCAAAGGTCCAACAACTAATAACTAGGGTGTTCACAAAATTGTACGACAGTCCAACAATCGGATTGTCATCAATCATACAAACAAGTGGCGGTCCAATTTGATCACCACACCAAACAATTGAATTTCGGGAAATCGAGCTAGACATAGGTTCACAGGGTCACTAGAAGATATTTGGTGCTTAGACAACACTCTTGGACGGTCCCACGCACCGCCACAAGTAGGTATTCAAGGTGGAGGGTTTAGAAACCCCAAATTTTCAACATTAACTAAATAAACTAAAATTTACGTGGTAGCTAGAGCTCAACAAGGGAAACACTTTTCACAATTTGGCCGATGACAAATTCTAACTGGAAACGGCCCAAATTCATCGGAGAAAACCGGATTTCTAGGGTTCTAAACACCCAATTCTAAAATGAATACGAAAGCACAAACTAAGCATACCAACTTGAAGATTATGAAGATTAGATAAAGTTTCATACCTCACTTGAAGGAAATGGTTGCCGGAATCGCCAGAAAAATGACAAAACCGCCGGGAAAACCCATGGAACTTTGCTGCCTCGATCTGAAAAAAATAGATAAGAAAATGGGAAATCTAACACAACAGAGTTGTAAGGCTCGTCAAGAGCTTTCCATGGACATCAAGATCACCCAAAACGAAGATCGGATGAAGGAGATATGAGCAGGTCAAGTTGGCTAGTTAACGGGTGAAAATCACCCCAAAAACGGGTCAAAAATCAGACCCTCTCCCTCTTTTTCAGAAAACTTCCCCCTTTCTAATTAGTCCCTCACTCTTTTATTAAACTCCTTAACCTTTAAACACATGTGGGAATTAAATAGTTCCCACAATCTATAGTTCACAACTTCAAACGTCCGTAACTATACCGTTATAACTCGGACTTGCAAACCGCTTTTGCCTATGCGCTCGTGGCTTCGAGACCTATTCAAAAACGTTACTTGTGACCTCAAAAGGTCGACAAATTTTTTGATAATTACCTTCCAAACTTCAAACTTCGTAACTAATTTAATTAAAATCTAAATCCAAATAAATTAATATAATTTCTCAAAAATAATATAAAATCTCAATAATACAAATATGTAGATTATAACAGTGAAATCCAGGAACGGGGTTTCACAATCTCCGGCAACCATTGGGCTTCCAAATAGGTATAATCTTATTCTAGACTTTCCTATCTTCATTTTAATATATTATGGGTCGAAATTGGTTAAGAAACGATTGAGTTACGAAGCTTTGAAAATTGTCAAACTTCCTGGCAAGAGCTCCGGGACACTTAACGGAGTTTTTAATGGAATGACAAAAATGATGGATGGTGGACAATTTCAGAGACCACTTCTATTGATTTGAAATCTGAGGGACCAAATTGATGTGTTATGCAAATCTCATATATCATTTTGGCTATTTAGCCTAAAAAGAAAAATAGAACTTAGTGTTAAAAGAAAAATAGTGACTGGTGATAACTTGAAGTATTAGAAACGAAATTTGGTAGTGACTCTGATTTAATTTCTGATTAAAAGATTGATGGCCTTAAATTCCACACCATTTTAAAATCCATCATAAGATTTTGACAAAAAAAAAATAAAAATCCATCATAAGTTATTCTTAGTTATAAGATTAACGTAGCCATTCCCTGATTAAGTACAATAGATGTCTCTATAAAAGATTAATAAAAAAAAAAGTATAAAAAAGTAAAAAGAAAAACGGGTTTTTCTCAACAAATAGCTAGCCTAAGACAAAGTTCAGGATTCTGACACATAAACATTGTATTCAACAATGGCATCTCCCGTATTAGCATCAAACCAAACCGTATGGGCTAAGGCATAACCTCGAGCAGACCTAAACTGCCCAGTGCCTCCAACAACTGGCATCTCTCTCACATCGTTCAAGACCGGATTCCTACCGAGAATGCTAATGCTACTCCCCTTGTACTTGCCTTCCACAAAAACAAAATTCATGACCATAAGGAGTGCAAATTCATCTGCTTGTTGTGAAGCCACTGAGTAAAACCCTTGTGCTCTTCCGACGAGCTTGGAGGCACGGTCTTGCTCTTCAGTCAGTGCATTATCGATCATCATAGTGCTGCCAAAGCCTGCAGCGGTACCATTTGGTGGCCCAATAATTCTAACAGAGGTTGGGTTTTTGCCACCAAGGATGTCATGGAAGAAAAAGTGGAGGTGGCTTAAGTTTTCTGTTTTCCCGCCGGATCTGACGAATTGCCTGATTAGAACTCCATCAATGGAATAGAGAAAGGTTGAGCAGAGGATGAAGATAGAGTAGTAGAGAAACGAAGACATATTAATCTCTCTAGCTAGCTAGTATGTCACTCTGAGGGGGAGAGAGAGAGAGAGAGAGAGATTAGACTTGTAGTAAGAAATGTGGTATGTGGTCACTATAAAAGAGGAGGAAGAGGGCAAGTTTTAGAAGTTGTTAATATGTCCAAGTGAGAGATTGAGAATATATATCCTGTTTACAAAAATTCTATTGTGCTCCGGAGTATCTTATATTTCGAGTTTTTTAATTGTTAGATTTAGTTATTGTGTGTTTTAGCTACAAGACAGCTAAAATTCTTGAGTAACCGATACTCCAGAGTATCATAAAAAATCCCAACTTGCTTAATTATATAATGGTTGGTCTGGTTGATGCATTTTCAAGCAACAACTGCTTTTTGTTGGGTCTACAAGAGTGTTTAGCTTTTAATTGCTTTAACACAACATGGAAAGCTTGAATCCTTTTTAAGGAAAGAAAGATTGAACTCCATTGATGGCTAACCAAATGTCAAACACTACATGAAACTTTGAAATTTTGTTTTAGGAATCGACAGACATGAGTTTGGTGTTCGGTTGTAAGGTTATGTGAGACTTAAGTTATGCCACCTACATGATGATGACCACGAAAACAATGATAACAACAATTGACTTTCTGTTTGGCCCTGATTTTACACTTGGGCATATCAAATATCTATTGCATTAAGTAATGAGCTGGAGATTGAGCGCAAAAGGTAACATGAGCCCTAGATTTATATTGGGCTATGAAAGGAATGAATAATATGCAAGTCAAATTATGCATTCTGATATTTTATTACTCAAATTGAGCGTAAAAGGTAACATGAGCCCTAGGCTAGGGGTACTCTGATATTTTATTACTCAAATTATGCATTCTGTTATCAATTTTTATATTTTATTGTTAGTTTTTGGATTTATTTTGTTCATTATTTTTATATAAAGTATACAATTATATATTAAAAAGGATAAGCATGCTAGTATATATACCAAAACATTAATTAAATTTATACACAAGCATATATATATATATATATATATATATATATATATATATATATATCTATATATATTAAGAGAACATAAATTACATGTACAAAAAAACTCGAGAATATTCAAAACATATAAATGATCTAAATCTTTAAAATATGTTTCGAGAGTTTTGAGATTACTCCGATTCCAAAAATTTCCAAAATTAAAAATATTAGTCCAATCTGATCCGATTCTCAAATTTTAAAACAAAAATTAAAAAAAATTGTTTCCGATCGGATCCGCCCGAAAATCACCCCTACCCAAAACAAAATAATAGTACATAAGATTATATCTTTTTTTTTAATGGGCTACTCATTAATAAACCCTCGACTAGTCAAAAACCCTAGGTACTGGAGGAACACTATGGTGAGGCGGAAGAGGGAGCAGTCGGAGTCGCAGTCCCAGAATTTATCCACTAGGATGGTGAAGCGGAAGTTGGAAGACGAATCGACAACAACCGAAGAGAAAACAGAAGATGATGTCACGCATAATGCCATTATACCGTCCCCGCCGAATGTTGAGGTCCGGGCAACTTTTATTGTAGACAATGCCTCTCTGAGAAAGGGTGTCGTTCGAAAGGTACAGGAGAAACTCTTCAAGCAAATATTTCTTTAATATTCCAGTACAAAATTAAATTTGACATTTTTGTAATTAATTTTTTTTTTAATTTTTTTATCTAGAATTATATTTCCTCAATTTCATTTTTATTCCTCAGAGGTGGGATAAGATTCTAGATTCAGAGGAAGACGCGGATTTCCTCAAACAAAAGAAAGATGTGAATGATTATAGGCCTGGGAGTTGTCTACCCGGTTTGCTCTTGAGCTATAACTTAGACGTTACATAGATACATTTTTATGTCATTTGAACTCCATCTCAAAGTCGTAACTTTTTTATAGTATGGTGATAGTGTTATTGGTTAGACAGTTAGTCTATAGGGGGAAGAGAGTCGGTGGAGCTTGAACCTGCACCAGGGTTTATGGGCACGATGTTTCTTTTCACCACTACGGTAAAGTGTCATCTGCAGCTCAAAGTCATAACTTTGATAAACTATAAACTGCTTTATTAGACTTGGGATTATATTCTTTGGTTAATGAAAATCCTTATATAAATTTGGTTAGGTTTCTATTTGAAACTCAAACTAATGGAGTTGTATTATTAGGTCAATGAAAATACTTATAAATAAATGAAAATGTAATTGATAACTATAAGGTGTTGATATCATTGTTGAAAAATATCAGTGACAACTTAGTGAGTTACTAATACAAATTCTGCCGACGATTTGTACCAGAGAATTTCTGGATGCATAAAAGGACCTTAGCTTTGCAAATTTAGGGTCTAAATAGATCAATCCATTTGTTTATATGAGAGAAAATTTAATTCCAAACCTTCAATTTTCTGAAGTAACTTTTGGATTTTATTAACATATCAAGACAGTAAAGTCCAATTAAACAATTTATACTGTATCATTCTATCCTTACAGACCTTTAAATTATAATATCAATATATCATCAACCATAAGTTCATTCATTGGAATTGAGATTAGCATAAGCTTACTGTATGCCACCAAGGTTTTAGCATTGGATCATGCATGTCTTTCTAATACTTAGTCTCTGTTTTTTTTTTCTTTTACTGTGTTTAATTTATAATTCATGCTTTTAAGTGTTTTACCCGTCCAGGCTCTTCGTTCAATTTTTGATAGCAAACTTAATAAAGCTGGTATGGTAGGAGCTGTGTATGTAAAAACAGATAATGGAGTGTTATTTGAGATTAAACCCCATGTCCGTATACCAACTACCAAAGAACGTGTAGGCGCTTTTGTGGAGTCATGCGTAAGTTAGCTTCTACTCCTAGTCGTTTGATATTCACCTTTGCACCATTCTGCCTCTTCAAAATATCATGGAACTTACTAATTGCTTTGTGTTTTGACTTCTGCAATTTCTAAAGTGGAGTTACTAGATAAAAAATGCATACGGACCAAAGATACAAATGAAATTCTTATGCGCGTCATTGCGGAACCTGTAACCCGACATTTACCAGTCAACTCTCGTGTAGTAGGTGAGCATTGCCTACCTTTATTTAGCATTCTGAGCTTACTGACTAGAACTAAAGCCGGTTGCACTGGGTTTGCAGGTCTCTCTTATAGTTCATAAAAACTGGTTGATATTGATGACTATGTTAATTCTGCCAGTGATGAATTGAATCTTGTTTTTGTGGTATGTTTGAGATTCTAAATTCCAGTTCATAGGTCTCTGCTTCATGATCCGTTTTGTATTTGAAATTTTAAACACTTTTCATATTTTTTCCAGTTGAAGATTAGTGAAAGAATGGAAAACTGTTATTACATTTGCACCCATTTTGAAGCTCTCGAGGTTTCTTCAAGAGAGAGAGAGAGAGAGAGAGAGAGAGAGAGAGAGAGAGAGAGAGAGAGAGAGAAAGAACAGTGAACAAGAGAAAAGTTAGGCGTGCGTGGTGCATCAGTTTGTGAAAATAAAAATAAAAAAATTTTAAAAAATAGCTTTTCATTTTGAAAATAAAAAGTTTTTATGGTTAATCCATGTGACACCATGTGATTCAATTGGTTATACATTTATATGTCACATCAACACACAAACATAAAATTTGATAGAAATTTAAAGGAATGACCAAATTGATTTGCGAGATTCTTGCTCTTTCAGGCTTTTATCCCTCTCTCCTTTCTCTTGGTTGAGGTCCTCTGGTTGCTCTGGGATCTCATCAAGCGTCAGTTACCACGAGCTAGGGTTCGAATCGGTATCATAGCGTAGTTAATTAAATCGAACATGCAATTGCCCACATTTTGATCGCTATTTTTTTTTTTTTGTAATTACTTTTTTTTTTTTGTAATTACCTAATTTATGAATGAAATCCAGTATTTGATGATAAAAAAAAAAAAGAAGATATGCGGACTTGATAAAAAGAAAAATAGTGACTGTTGATAACTTAGTGTTAAAAAGAAAAATAGTGACTGGTGATAACTTAAAGTGTTAGAAACGAAATTTGGTAGTGACTTTGATTTAATTTCTAGTTAAAAGATTGATTGCCTTAAATTCCACACCATTTTAAAATCCATCATAAGATACTAGTATATTTCAAAGGGATTATTCTTAGTTATAAGATTAACGTAGCCATTCCCTGATTAAGTACAATAGATGTCTCTATAAAGGATAAATAAATAAAAAGTACAAAAAAAGTAGAAAGAAAAGCGGGTTTTTCTCAACAAATGGCTAGCCTAAGACAAAGTTCAGGATTCTGACACATAAACATTGTACTCAACAATGGCATCTCCCGTATTAGCATCAAACCAAACCGTATGGGCCAAGGCATAACCTCGAGCAAACCTAAACTGCCCAGTGCCTCCAACAACTGGCATCTCTCTCACATCATTCATGACCGGATTCCTCCCGAGAATGCTAATGCTACTCCCCTTGTACTTGCCTTCCACAAAAACAAAATTCATGACCATAAGGAATGCAAATTCATCTGCTTGTTGTGAAGCCACTGAGTAAAACCCTTGTGCTCTTCCGATGAGCGTGGAGGCACGGTCTTGCTCTTCAGTCAGTGCATTATCGATCATCATAGTGCTGCCAAAGCCTGCAGCGGTACCATTTGGTGGCCCAATAATTCTAACAGAGGTTGGGTTTTTGCCACCAAGGATGTCATGGAAGAAAAAGTGGAGGTGGCTTAAGATTTCTGTTTTCCCGCCGGAACTGACAAATTGCCTGATTAGAACTCCATCAATGGAATAGAGAAAGGTTGAGTAGAGGATGAAGATAGAGTAGTAGAGAAACGAAGACATATTAGTCTCTCTAGCTAGCTAGTATGTCACTCTGAGAGAGAGAGAGAGAGAGAGAGAGAGAGAGAGAGAGAGAGAGAGAGAGAGAGAGAGAGAGAGAGAGAGAGAGAGAGAGAGAGAGAGAGAGAGAAGATGTAAGAATGTGGTATGTGGTCACTATAAAAGAGGAGGAAGAGGGCAAGTTTTAGAAGTTGTTAATATGTCCAAGTGTGAGATTGAGAATATATATTCCGTTTACAAAAATTCTATTGTGCTCCGGAGTATCTTATATTCTAAGTTTTTTAAGTGTTAGATATTATCTATTGTGTGTTTTAGCTACAAAACAGCTAAAATTCTTGAGTAACCGATACTCCAGAATATCATATATAAAAAATCCCATCATGCTTAATTATATAATGGTTGGTCTGGTTGATGCATTTTCAAGCAACCACTGCTTTTTGTTGGGTCTACGAGAGTGTTTTGGTTTTTTAATTAACTCAACTTGGAGAGATTGAATACTTTTTAAGCAAGGAGAGATCGGAATCCATTGATGGCTAACCAAATGTCAAACATTACATGAAACTATGAAATTTTGTGTTTAGGAATCGACATGAGTTTGGTGTTCGGTTATAATAAGGTTATGTGAGACTTATGTTATGCCACGTACATGATGATGACCCCGAAAACAATGATAACAACAATTGATTGTCTGTTCGGGCCGATTTTACATGTGAGCTTAATATCAAATATCTATTGCATTAAGTAATTAGCTTGAGATTGAGAGCAAAAGATAACATGAGCCCTAGATTTATTTCTACTAATTAATGAAACCTTCTTTGTCAATCAAAAGAAGGTGAAAAGACAAATTAGTCTTCTATGACACAAAAAAATGATGGACAATAATGTAATTTCACAAGTCCAAATTTTACTATTTTTTATTGAAACCTCACCTACGTTCTCTCTCTCTCTCTCTCTCTCTCCCCTTCTTATTTTCTAAAAAAAATGTGTTCATACACATAAAGTGTGTAGGCAAATACTAGTATTGAGTTATGAAAGGAATGAATAATATGCAACTCAAATTATGCATTCTGATATTTTATTACTCAAATTGAGCCCAAAATGTAACATAGCCTTATAGACTAAAATACTCTGATATTTTATTACTCAAATTATGCATTATTTAATCAATTTTCATATTTTATTATTAGTTTTGGATATATTTTATTCATTGTATTTATATAAAGCATACAATTTTATATTAAAAAGGATAAGCATACTAGTACATGTACGAAAAATTTCGAGAATATTCAAAACATATAAATTATATAAATTTTTGAAATATGTTTCGGGAATTTTAAGATTACTCTAATTCCAAAATTTTATAACAAACATTAAAAACGTTGTTTCCAATAGGATGAGCCCGAAAATCACCCCTACCCGAAACAAAATAATAGTACATAAGATTATATCTTTTTTTTAATGGGCTACTCATTAATAGTACTGGAGGAACACTACTATAACATGGTGAGGTGGAAGAGGGGGCAGTCGGAGTCGCAGTCGCAGAATTTATCCACTAGGATGGTGAAGCGGAAGTTGGAAGAGGAATCGACAACAACCGAAGAGAAAACAGAAGATGATGACACGCATAATGCCACTATACGGTCCCCGCCGAATGTTGAGGTACAGGAGAAACTCTTCAAGCAAATATTTCTTTAATATTTCAGTAAAAAATTAAATTTGAAACTTTTTTAATTAATTTTTTTTTAGAATTATATTTCCTCAATTTCATTTTTATTCCTCAGAGGTGGAAGATTCTAGATTCAGAGGAAGACGCTGACTTCCTCAAACAAAAGAAAGTTGTGAATGATTATAGGCCTGGAGTTGTCTACCAGGTTTGCTCTTGAGCTATAAATTAGACGTTACATCGATACATTTTTAAGTCATTTGAACTCCAACTCAATGTCATTACTTTTTTATAGTATAGCGATAGCGTTATCGGTTCGACAGTTAGTCGATAGGAGAAGAGAGTAAGTGGAGATTGAACCTGCACTAGGGTTTATAGGCATGATGTTTCTTTTCACCACTATGATAAAGTGTCATCTGCAGCTCAAAGTCATAACTTTTGATAAACTATAAACTGCTTGATTAGACTTGGGAGTTATATTCTTTGGTTAATGAAAATCCTTATATAAAGTTGGTTAGGTTTCTATTTGAAACTCAAACTAATGGAGTTATATTATTAGGTCGGATCTTTTGATATGAGTTCAAAGTAACTAAAAATTAGACCTATTTCAAAAGTCAAAAGTCACTAAAAATTGGACATATTTCAAAAGTTGGCCTATTAAATTGGACTTATTTCAAATTTTCCCATAAATTAAATGAAAAAGTAATTGATAACTATAAGGTGTTGATATCATTGTTGAAAAATATCAGTGACAACTTAGTGAGTTACTGATACAAATTCCGCCGATGATTTGTACCAGAGAATTTCTGGATGCATAAAAGGACCCTAGCTTTGCAAATTTAGGGTCTAAATAGATCCATCCATTTGTTTATGAGAGAAAATTTAATTCCAAACCTTCATTTTTCTGAAGTAACTTTTGGATTTCATTAACATATCAAGACAGTAAAGTCCAATTAAACAATTTATACTGTATCTATTCTATCCTTGCAGACCTTTAAATTATAATATCATCAACCATAAGTTCATTCATTGGAATTGAGATTAGCATAGGCTTACTGTATGCCACCAAGGTTTTAGCACTGGATCATGCATCTCTTACTAATACGTAGTCTCTGTTTTCTTTTTCTTTTACTGTGTTTAATTTATAATTCATGATTTTAAGTGTTTTACCCGTCCAGGCTCTTCGTTCGATTTTTGATAGCAAACTTAATAAAGCTGGTATGGCAGGAGCTGTGTATGTAAACACAGATAATGGAGTGTTATTATTTGAGATTAAACCCCATGTCCATATACCAACTACCAAGAACGTGTAGGCGCTTTTGTGGAGTCATGCGTAAGTTAGCTTCTACTCCTAGTCGTTTTATATTCACCTTTGCACCATTCTGCCTCTTCAAAATATCATGGAACTTACGAATTGCTTTGTATTTTGACTTCTGCAATTTCTAAAGTGGAGTTACTAGATAAAAAATGCATACGGACCAAAGATACAAATGAAATTCTTATGCGCATCATTAAGGAACCTGTAACCCGACATTTACCAGTCAACTCTAGTGTTGTAGGTGAGCATTGCCTACCTTTATTTAGCATTCTGAGCTTACTGACTAGAACTAAAGCCTGTTGCACTGGGTTTGCAGGTCTCTCTTATAGTTCATAAAAACTGGTTGATATTGATGACTATGTTAATTCTGCCAGTGATGAATTGAATCTTGTTTTGTGGTATGTTTGAGATTCTAAATTTCAGTTCATAGGTCTCTGCTTCATGCTCCGTTTTGTATGTGAATTTTGAAATCCCCATAACGGCTTTTTATACATGTTCAGGTGGGTGCAGAAGCCCATGGGAAGATCAATGAGTGTACAGATGATTTTATATCAGGTAATTTGTACTTGAGTTATTTGATAGTATGGTTTTTATAGAAGCGTGGTTTGAATAGATATGTTTGTTGATTATTGACTCAAACTTGTAGTCAAAGATAAAAAATTTCGGCTACTTTTGTGGTCAAAATTGTTGGATGGCATGCTACATGTGGGAAACAAAATACATGCAATTGTGCCTAACTCTTTTTGACTTGATGTTAGGCCTTTGGCCATTGATGTCTTTGAGAAGCTTTTCTTTGGCTATAAAAGGAGAGCAAGGTGTAGCTCATAAGCATGGAGAAGTAGAGAGGAGAACAAGGAAGAGAGAAAAATAGCAAGAAGCCATTCGGCATAGAGAAGAATTTTCTCAAATTGTCTTGCTTTGTATTTTTGGTTTTCTCTTCCTATTGTAAGTGTGAGAGCTTGGGTTATTTAGGTCTTTGGGAAATTGAGTGATAAACACTATTGTATGTTCTCATTGATTATAGTGGAATACTCCGTCGTCTCCAAACTGGATGTAGGCATTGCCGAACCAGTATAAATCTTGGTGTTCTTGTTGGTGTTGGTTTTATTCTGTTCTGTCTTACTATTCACTTACAGTTGAATGCCGCTTCTGCACAACAATGTTAAGACACTAAGATGGTTTATGTGAACTTTAGAGCTTGCAAAGGTGATTTTTGGTGGTCTAGTAGTATGAATTCTTGAGTAAAAAAGAACAGCGATCGAAGGATTTTTTGCAATGTAAGAAACCTGAATCTTATCAAAACTGGAGAGCAGATGGTTGACACAAGTAGATACTGCAATTTCTTTAAGTGTTATAGTGTATTAAACTTTGTTAATTGTCATAGTCAGTTGTACCCAAAACTGTTTCTCGTCTGGTTATGTTTTCTTCTTCCAGTTTAGGTTTTGCTTTACTCTTCTATGTATGTCATGCTGGTCTATATCTTGCTGGAATCTATTAATAATATCTTAATGTTGCATTTGTTTGCCTCTGCAGTTTCAAATTATCCATTGAATGCAAAAGGCTGCATAGGGTTGATTTGCGAGTCGTTGGAGCATAAATGGAAGATCTTTTGAGTCATATATATCTAAGTTATTAAATACTAATTAAGGTTTGTACAAGCGCCGAAGATATCTAAACATGAGTATTACTTCAAAAAAAAAAAAAAAAAAAAAAGGATGGTTATTCAATTTGATGAAGTCAATTTCTTCGACACTGAAAGGTAGAGGCCAGCACAATACTAGTCAAGCCAAGTTGAGCTGATTTCCATCACTGCCGAAAATAACTAACTTGTTGATTGTCGTCATCAGTTCTCTTCTCGGTGTCAAATGCATCTATCAGGATGGTCAAAGTTGTATTAATTCGTGTACTCATTTAAGTTCCTTCTCGATCAGTGAGATTATGATAAAAGGAATCCCGGTTAACAAGAACAACACGCTGATCATGAAGCTTCTGTATAATCTTATCGCAAACTGTAGTCTTACCAGAAGCTGCCCTACCAGCTAAACGAACCCATGTTCAGAGATACAGAGAAAGAGAGTTTTATTTTATATTGCAGTTGCAAACTTGCAGATGTTGTAAATATAAGCATTTATGTGTGATTGCGTAAATAAAAGTAGGAATTTAACATGGCTCGTCGGTTAGGATGATGTACTTATTGTATCTGTTAAAGGATTCCCAAGCCGCCACTTAGTACTACAGTCTAATGGTATATTTCTCTTCACTTGGAAGTGAGAGGTTTTAGGTTCGAATCTCGTAGATGGCGAATTCAATACTAAATTAGGTTGCCCATTGTGTGACTTAGGCGAACTCTCTCTCTTGGTAGTATAAAAATATCGATGTACTATAAATAAAAGGGATTCCTAAACCATATATAGAAGGATTAATATAAATATAAGGCGCAACGCATGTGAAAAAACAAGTTCCCTTCTCTCTCTCTCTCTCTCACGTTCTCTCACTCTAATTAAGTTTTCTGGACAATATATTATCAGCTCTTTTGTAGTTCTTGAGAGGAATCTTATCGGTGTTTGGAGTTCTTTATCCAAGTATTTTCTAAGCTTAATTTAAATTTCATGTGTTAAACTTGATTATATGAACATCACCACAAAGAATGAACTCAATTTTATACTCGAAATTATATTTTGATTATGTCTTTCGATTATTATGAATTACTTGTTGATATGTGTGTCAAAAGAAAAAGAAAAATCTCATGGAAAAAAAAAAAAAACCCTAACGCCGATGGCTCCAAGACCAGGACATGGACGCCATATATGACTGTCTTTGTCCTCGATATTCGCCAGCGTTACCACCCCTGCAGCTGATTTTGGATTCGTCTATAAAAGAAAGAATTTTATAATTATTTGTTCTCTCGAGTCTTAGACTCTCTCACCTTGCTCGCTTGCTATAGCTATTAGCTGTTAGCTATCGAGGACAGAATACTGAAGACTGAAGCCCCCCAATTCCCTCCCCGATTTCTTTCTGATTCGATGAAGACCCACAAAGTTTCGAATCCAAATAAGACCTCTAAAACAAGGTAATAAGCATTTTACTCTCATATTTGGTTTAGGGACTCCGAGACTGCAATGCACGCTTGATTATTCATAGATCGCATACTTCATTATTTATTAGCTAAATCGCGAAAATAGTTCCTGAAATTTACATAACTCCTCATTTTGGTCCCTGAGATTTCAAATCAATAGAGGTGGTTCATAAGATTGTCCACCATCCATCATTTTGTTCATTAGTTCATTAACTAACCTAATGTTCAGGTTGGTGCCATGGCTCACGGGAACATTGATAGCGAATATGTGGATGATTTCATAGCAGGTTGGTCTCTTATAACTTTCATTGTTTGGAATGTATTTGCTTCTACGTCGATTTAGCCCTATTTTACCCGCTGGACAGCAGCTTAACACTACTGCCAATCAGATTTCCAAGCAACCAAACTAATCAATAAGCCTGAAAAATGAAAATCACGTTTAGTAGGTACCAACCTAAACAACCTAGCTAGGCTTGATACATGTCCATGACATTTGCAACCAAGGAATATTCACCACATACACAAGTGATGCTTATGTTGGAGTTGTGCAACATTGCTAATTCACGTATCATAATATGAGTAGGCTATATAGATATTCCATTAACAAATAGATTCCTCGTGTTATAACTTGAATGGATTGGCCACATGGTGGTGTGATAATCACACTGAAAAGTATATCATCCCTATGACTCTCCTTTGGCAATATTCTTTGCTTTGAGTGGATTGGCCACATGGTGGTGTGATAATCACACTGAAAAGTATATCATCCCTATGACTCTCCCTTGGCCATATTCTTTGCTCTGAGTGAGAAGTCACGGTACTAGATTGTCACATCCCAACCCGGGGTCCACCACATCCCGGGCCCGTTCCACCACCGTAGCACGATATTGTCCGCTTTGGGCCCCGACTACGCCCTCACGGTTTTGTTTATGGGAACTCACACGAGAACTTCCTAGTGGGTCACCCATCATGAGAGTGCTCTCGCGCGCTACTCGCTTAACTTTGGAGTTCCCATGGAACCCAAAGCCAGTGAGCTCCCAAAAGGTCTCGTGCTAGGTAGAGATGAGAATATACATTTAAGGATCACTCCCCTGCCCGATGTGGGATGTCACAATCCACCCCCCTTAGGGGCCCGACGTTCTCGTTGGCACACCACAACCATGGTTAGGCTCTGATACCAAATTGTCACACCCCGATCTGGGGTCCACCACATCCCGGGCCCGCTCCACCACCGTAGCACGATATTGTCCGCTTTGAGCCCCAACCACGCCCTCACGGTTTTGTTTTTGGAAACTCACACGAGAACTTCCCAGTAGGTCACCCATCATGGGATTGTTCTCACACGCTACTCGCTTAACTTTGGAGTTCCGATGAACTCCGAAGCCATTGAGCTCCCAAAAGGCCTCGTGCTAGGTAGGGATGAGAATATACATATAAGGATCACTCTCCTGGGCGATGTGGGATCTTACAATTGTCACACCTCGACCCGGGGTCCACCACATCCCGGGCCTGCTCCACCATCGTAGCACGATATTGTCCACTTTGGGCCCCAACCACGGCCTCACGGTTTTGTTTCTGAGAACTCACACGAGAACTTCCCAGTGGGTCACCCATCATGGGATTGCTCTCGCGCGCTACTTGCTTAACGTTGGAGTTCCGATGAACTCCGAAGCCAGTGAGCTCCCAAAAGGCCTCGTGCTAGGTAAGGATGTGAATATACATATAAGGATCACTCCCCTGGGCGATGTGAGATCTTACAATCAAGGAATTAAATATCGATATTATCGGCGAAATATCGCCGATAATATCGTTTTTTTGACCCGGCGATATTTTTTTTAGTAAAAATAAAATATCTTTAAAATATCGCGATATTACAGATATTAGCGATATTATCGCGATATTCGTCGTCGTCGCCGCCGCCGGGAGGTGAGAAAGGGATCCAGAAACCAGATCGAAGAAGAAGGATCCAGATCGAGGGAGAGACGGAGACGGAGAGACCGAGGCAGAGATGGAGACGAAGAGACCGAGGGAGAGACGGAGACGGAGAGACCGAGGCAGAGACGGAGACGGAGAGACCGAGGCAGAGACAGAGACGTAGAGACGGAGAAGGCGATGAGGTGGTGTCGCCGTTGATGTGGTGTGGAAGTGAGGGTGTGGGTTGTTCACGGGGAGAATGAGAGAGTGCAGAGATGCAGAGAGTGCAGAGAGTGCAGAGAGGGAGAAGAGGGAGAATGAGGGTTGTTCACGGGGAGAATGAGAGAGTGCAGAGAGTGCAGAGAGCGATGAGGAGGTGTCGCCGTTGAAGTGGTGTGGAAGTGAGGGTGTGGCGTGTGGGTTGGTTCACGGGGAGAAGGAGAGAGTGCAGAGAGTGCAGAGAGAGAGCACGGTAGAGATGAGAGAGTGAGGGAAAAGAGAGATCTGAGAGAAAAGATAGACGGGGACACAAAAGCAAGGTGGGCCCCCTGGGCACACCTATTAAGATCTAAAAATAATTTTAAAAGCAAGATAAACTCAAACTTAGTGTAACAATCTACCCCTCTTAAAAGAATTTCGTCTCCGAAATTTAAAATCACTTACTAAACTGAAATACTAGAAAATAGGAAGGAGAATATATGTATAAAGAGAAATCAAGTCCAAATAATTACATCATATTAAAATTTGATTAATTTTTTTTCAGTTACATATATTCTATATGATAAATTTCTATTTTAAATCAAGTCCAAATAATTACATCATATTAAAATTTGATTTTTTTTTTTTCAGTTACATATATTATATATGATAAATTTCTATTTTAAATCAAGTCCAAATAATTACATCTACTAAAATTTGATTAATTTCTTTTCAAGTATCTACTTTTGAACTACTCACCATGTTCACTCTATGTGATACTAAGTCACTCATGTATCTTACCATACAATGTATAAAGTGTAAAATATTGTACTAATTCATTATATATAAATGATTATGGTGTGTTTAAACTTATTTCATTAATTACTACATATTTTCTACACTTACAATGTTTGCCAGCTCGCTATATAATCAACTTAAATCCATCATGCAATGCATTTCCTTCCAATTTTTTGTGATAAACTAATAGATAATTGACTAAATAAACATCCTGCAAAGTTTCAATAAAAATTTCCAAGTTTTTCTTACAATTTCCGTAGTTTCCATGTAATTTTTATCGATATCGATATTATCCCGATATTTCCATCGATATTTCCGTGTTTTTGGACTACCGATATTTCCGATATTACCGATATTTTCTTCCTTGCTTACAATCCACCCCCCTTAGGGGCTGACGTCCTCGTCGGCACACCACAGCCAGGGTTAGGCTCTAATACCAAATTGTCACATCCCAGGCCCGCTCCACCACAGTAGCACGATATTGTCCGCTTTGGGCCCCGACTACGCCCTCACGGTTTTGTTTATGGGAACTCACACGAGAACTTCCTAGTGGGTCACCCATCATGGGAGTGCTCTCGCGCGCTACTCGCTTAACTTCGGAGTTCCCATGGAACCCGAAGCTAATGAGCTCCCAAAATGCCTCGTGCTAAGTAAAGATGGGAATATACATTTAAGGATCACTCCCCTGGGCGATGTGGGATGTCACAATCCACCCCCTTTAGGGCGCCGACGTCCTCGTCGGCACACCACGGCCAGGGTTAGGCTTTGATACCAAATTGTCACACCCCGACCCGGGGTCCACCACATCCCGGGGCCGCTCCACCACCGTAGCACGATATTGTCCGCTTTGGGCCTCAACCACGCCCTCACGTTTTGTTTCTGAGAACTCACACGAGAACTTCCCAGTGGGTCACCCATCATGGGATTGCTCTCGCGCGCTACTTACTTAACTTTGGAGTTCCGATGAACTCCAAAGCCAGTGAGCTCCCAAAAGACCTCATGCTAGGTAGGGATGAGAATGTACATATAAGGATCACTCCCCTGGGCGATGTGAGATCTTACACAGATTCCAACCTTTGAATTTTTTTTATTGTTCTGCAAGACTAAATACTTTTATTTGACTCTAATGTTTCCTTTCATTGCCATCCTTATTTTGTCTTTCTGATTTTATTTGCTGATAACAAGTCTGTATGTGTGCTTGCAGTTTCTGGATATACGTTGAGCGCTGGGGTTTGCCTAAGAAGTATATGTATAGCATTAGAGAGAAAGTGGAATATTTTGTGAGGAAAATGTTAGGAAGACGTTTTTAGACTAAATTTTATAGATCACGAGGAATTCAACCATCAACTGCCATATCATGTGGTCTGAGATATAGACCACGAGGAAGACGTTTTTTAGACTAATTTTATATTTAGTTGGTCTATTTAACTATTGGAGAGGACATGTCAAGTTCTAGTTGAAACCTTCATTCAATTTTTTTTTTGAGCATTTGAAGTTGCATTGTGTCGTATGTGCCTTAATTGGCGTACTCGGGCTACATCGTCAATTATTCCAAGTTTGATCAAAAAAACCAAACGAGAAACCTTTTGATGAAACATACCCAACTGGGCACAAACACAAACGAGTAATTCCTGCAAGTCTCATTTCTAGCCAACATTATTGTTACAAGTTATCATGTTGCGAAACACTCGACCTTTCGAGTTTGTGAGCAAAAATAATTTCTTACGGTCAAATTTGATGTAGGAGCACCAAGGAAGTAAACCAATATCCACCCCAATAGGAGAGGTTTTTGTGTAGGGAAGTCAACTTAAGGGGATTGTGAGAGGGTGTCTGATAAAAAAGTGGGTCAGTGTTAACCTGACAAATCAGGGTTAACTAGACAAATTAGGGGGTAGAGTAGTGTATTTTTGTTTTTTTGTTTTTTGTCTGAATCGGCACGGACACATGGTTCAGCTGCTGATGCTAAATCGTTACGAGTAGGGTTGAGCAATGAGCATTATGTGGGTTGGTTGGGTTGGACTTCAACCTTTGGCTAACCCAATAGGCCCAAATTGGCATTATAGAAAACCTTTTCCACCCAAGAAAATAGACAAACCAACCCATCTAAACCATTTAAAATTTTTAAGGCGAGTTGGGTTAGACATGTTCTACGAGTTTGGATTATTTAGTTTCTTTCTTATTCCTAAAGTGATTATAAGTGATAAATAAACCAAAATGCATGTTAGGTTAGGCTTAAATCATGTAATTTGACTGTTGTAGGATCATTGGCTGTTACTTAGTATTTAAATTTCATTATTTACTGGAGTGTAAACAAATAAGTGTGTTTAATAACTACTAAATTTGCTATTTAGTACTACGGTGCAGTGGTATACCTTTTCACTTGTACCTAAGAAGTCTTAGGTTCGATTCTAGCCAAAAGCGTATATGAACCATATTATTGCTAGTTCATTGCGAAACTAAACTCACCCCGTCCCCTTTAGTGTAGATAATATCGTTTGTCAAAAAAAAAAAAAAATATATATATATATAACTACTAAATTTTAAGAATATGTTTATGGAATATACATGTATGTTTAAAAATTGTTAACATTCAGATTGGTTAATTTTGATCGGGTTAATAATGCTTCAATTCAACACAAATCACCTATTACAGCCCGGCCCAACCCAACCCAGTTGGACTGGTCGGTTTGGTCGGTTCCCACCCCGCTACGAGAATACCGAATGATTTGAGATTCTCCACCCTCCCCGCCTCCTCCCCTCCCCTCTCTCTGACTTCCTAACCTAGTAGCTTCCGTTGTATTTGGTTTGTATAGACACCAAAGAACCTAGCTTTGGTGTGAATTTAAGGCATATGACATCATAAGCTGAGATTTCAAGAACTTTACATTTTCCCTTCAAATTTCTCCTCATTGGAGCAAAGAAATCAGAAAAAGTATATTAATTTCTCTGTCCCTCCTGGAAATGGTCAGCTCGCTGCTCCGAGCAAGAAATTCCATCACCAAAATCCCCAAAGTCTTCCCCCCAAATCCACAAATTCTCACTCCAAACTCAGCCCCAATCCAATCCCACCAAAACCCATGTCCCCAACTCCCTCATACCCAAAACCCTTCAAGGGTTTTGCAGAATTCTTCCTTTTCAACCCAGTCCTCCAAGTTTCCGGAATACGAAATGCCCTCGGTCACTTGGGGCGTCGTCCAAGGCCGGAAAGAGAAGCTCGTCTCCAGGGTCATAATCTGTGACTATTTGAAGAGCTTAGGCATAATTCCTGATGAATTGGAGAACTTGGAGCTGCCTTCTGCTGTTGATGTCATGCGGGAGAGAGTTGAGTTCCTTCAGAAGCTCGGATTGTCGATCGACGACATTAACGAGTACCCGTTGATGCTCGGGTGCAGTGTGAGGAAAAATATGATACCTGTGTTGGCTTACTTGGAGAAAATTGGGATTCCGAGGCCGAAACTTGGTGAGTTTGTTAAGAATTACCCGCAAGTATTGCATGCTAGTGTGGTTGTTGAGCTTGTGCCGGTTGTCAAGTTCCTTCGTGGGCTTGATGTCGAAAAGCAGGATATTGGTTATGTGTTGCAGAAGTATCCTGAGCTTCTTGGATACAAGCTTGAGGGGACAATGAGTACTTCGGTTGCATATCTTGTTAGTATTGGTGTTAGTCCTAGGGATATAGGACCGATGGTTACACAGTATCCTTACTTCTTGGGAATGAGAGTTGGGACTGTCATTAAGCCGTTTGTTGATTATTTGGTTTCGTTAGGTTTGCCGAAAAAGATATTGGCCAGGATGCTGGAGAAGCGGACATACTTACTTGGTTATGATCTTGAGGAGACTGTTAAACCAAATGTGGATTGTTTAATTAGTTTTGGGATCAGGAGGGAAGCACTTGCTTCGGTTGTTGCTCAGTACCCCCAAATTCTTGGGCTGCCTTTGAAAGCTAAAATGTCTTCGCAGCAGTATTCCTTTAGTTTGAAGCTTAAGATTGATCCTGAAGGGTTTGCACGGGTGGTTGAGAAGATGCCACAGATAGTCAGCCTTCATCAACATTTGATAATGAAGCCGGTCGAATTCCTTCTTGGACGGGGAATAGCTTCTGAGGACGTAGCTAAGATGGTTGTAAAGTGTCCCCAGTTAATTGCGCTGCGTGTTGAGCTCATGAAGAATGGTTTCTACTTCTTTAAGAGTGAAATGGGGAGGCCACTGAAAGAGCTTGTGGACTTTCCGGAATACTTTACTTACAGCTTGGAGTCGAGGATTAAACCTAGGTACCAGAGGTTGCAAAGCAAGGGCATCAGGTGTTCATTGAAATGGTTCCTCAACTGTAGTGATCAGAGATTTGAGGAGAGGTTGCAAGGGGAGTATATTGAAACAGAGACACCAGGTCCATCATTTTATATGGGTGGGAAGTTAGAGCTCCCGGGAAGTGAGATGGTGTCAGATGAGGATGATGAGAGTGATGATGAAGTACTTTACAGACGCACTGTTTCCTTGTAGTAAATTTTATTGACTTTAGAAAATCAAATTTATTTTAAAATGTTATTCATATTCATCGGATTTGGTTTTCTTATGCCTGTTCATATTTGGTCATTGTTCTATTTTAGTTTGACTTTTTCTTTCTTAATCATGTGTATGCATCTTATGTAGGTCTTAAGATTGATAAAGACAATGAAAGTAAAATCGTTTTGCCTACTTCAGTTAGTATATTCTTTCAACTAGTTCAGTTACCTGAAATCATTAGCTTTGCCTTTTGATGGATCAGATTCTGATAGACAAATATCAACCGTCACCCAACCTACGACTGAGACAGTGCCACTGTTTGCTACTATGAATTTTGATGATGCTCACTTATGATTTAGAACTGTATCTTTCTGGTGTCGAAAAGGATGTTTGCATGAATGTCTAAAGTGGCCTAACTTTGTGTCCCGTTTAGTTTCTTTATTTGGGAAACTAAATGTTTTTCTTGTGATGGAAAATGCGTTACTCTTTGTTCTGTCGCAGAAAGATACATTATCATTACATAGAAGCATGAACAGGTAGAGTTCTTGTATTGGTCACATTTTGTTATGCAAGTATGCATCCCAGGAATGGTGGAGGCTGTACGAATCACAACATGAGAAGAAAACTTAGTCAGAAATGGTTCAAAGGTTTCCTTTCGTGTTTCGTGGTTAGTATGTGTTGATCATTAAATTGTACTATACGTGGTTCTTAGTATTTGGAAATAGTTTCTTTGGTTTTTTTTATTTTTTTATATTTTTTATGAATACCTTGAACTCTGCTACTTCTCTGTGTGTTTCCCCAGTTGTTACAAAACATCCCAGGCTAGTAGACAACTATGATGACGGTTGACACCAAGTCTGTCTAGCCTTATTTGAAATTTACTCGTATATCATGTTGAATTTGTTGCTTTAAAGTCAACGAATGCATTCATGTAATGTTGATGATGGGAAATCGACATTTATATCATCTGATAATGTGAAGTTGCTTCTTTTCATACCTAGTGCAATTTTGCTATAGCTGTTTGTATAGATGCAGTCAGATATGGGTCAAGACTTTGTCTTTAGGATGACCTTGCTTGCATGAGCAAGGCTCAAGTCTCCAATATTTATAAAGGAAATGTTTGTCTCCCAATAAGTGTATGTACGTAAAATAAAAGCCTATGGAGATTGTATTTCTGGTTTCTTAGCTAGTATTTTCCTTCCAACTGAATTAGTGACTCTGCACCCGACTACTCTGAAGATGCAGATCTTGTATATCTTGTACAAACTGCTTTATTCCCAACATCATAACCAAAGAGTTTATATGGATATGGTTCTTCAAGGGTTTTTAGGCATGTCGCAATCATGAACACTAAGGCTCGTTAATGTCCAGACAAATTCGCAGGGTCGTGTCTTCACTCTGCTGTCAAGTGTTGATGTCATTTTTGTTTTCGGATATTGGCAAAATTTATGAGTTTATTGATAGGATGCACATGTAGGAGCTGGATCTGTATTTTACAAGGGTAATCAATCTTGAAATTCATCTTGTTGCTGGTTGTGTTTGGGGCCTGGCGCGTAACATTTTTTAGCTTTGCTGACTGTTCCATGGTTGAGAATGATACTTTTAAAGATCAAAAGAAGATGAAAACAAAAGATGCAAGCTTTTCTTCTCCGGAATTTGGGAGATTTTTACCTGCAGTACTTAATGGGTATCTAATGAGCTTCATGTGACGGCCAGTATTCATAGTTATGGTGATGAGATTGGTCTTGGTGATGATGATGTAATACACTTTATTATGATTTCCCTATCATGGTGATGAGATTGGTATTGGTGATTACTATCATGTTTTATTTTTATTTTTTTTTTGAGCAAACGATATTACGTGTACTAAGTGGTGGGGAAGTGGACTAAGCCTCGTATTGGGTTAGCCATAATAATATTGTTTAAATTCGCTTTTAATAAGAATCGAACTTAAAACTTCTCACTTACAAATAAGAACCATGTATTATATAAATTCTCACCAAACACATTGGACAGAGAAAGAGAATCGGTCACGAACGCTCTCGGACTCTCTAAAACCCATCCAGAGATAGATGACAATCTATTTCTAAATTTTATATACAAATTTTTCAATTTAATTCATGTGGCTCAATTTGATTAGTTATGTTGTCCCCTCACATGTTTTAATGAAATTTTAACTGAGCTTGACGGCAGGGACATCATTGACGTGCAAGAGAAAACATAACATAAATGACCAAAATTATGTATTTACAATACGTAAATGATTATTTGTGATAAAAGCCTTTAAATACTTATATCACATTATTCGCATATGACCATTAGACGAAAATTGTATTAAATATATAAGTACTCCAAGGTTTAATGTCTTAAAAATCCTTTCAATCTGTCACTTAATACTACGATCTGGTGATATTCTTCTTCACTTGAAAATGAGAGGTCTTAGATTCGAATCTTGTAGATGGTAAATTCGTTATCAAATTAAGCTGTCCATTATGTGGTTTAGCCAAACTCTCATCTCCTTAATGTAAAAATATCTATATACTAAAAAAAAAAAAAAAAATCCTTTCAATCTGAATTTGACTATACACCCCAAATTGTTAGATGAATTATTAGGGTTTTGGTCTCCTAATTGCCTAATTGGTATCACAAGAGTTTGAGAAACTTCCGACGACGCCGTTTTGTACACTTCGATGCAAAATAGTGTTCTGACGAGTGACGAGTTCTGGTAAAGCAAACAGAGAGTTTAAACCTTCACGAGCTCTGCTATCTCTCTCTGCCTCTACCGCCAGCCTCTCTGATTCTCCAGGTGAGTTTCCTCCTTCTCTTCTCTTTTCTTCTTTCCCTTTTTCTGTTGGAATTTTCTGTTTGCTGTCCCTGATTTCATTTGCGGTATTTTGGATTTTAACTGCGATGAATGATGTAAAAGCAAAAATGCTAAATTTTGAGCACTCAAATCTCATTCATTTATTAGTAGAAAGCCAGCATTAATTCAAATTGCGTAATCAATTTATCAACTTGCTGCTTCTCATTTTTCTCTGAATTGGGTAATGCTCGTGGCAGCCCATTTTTTTTCGGTTATGGCTGCTGTTGCTGCAGATTTTTCTGTTGATTTTGGAGGTTTGATTATTCTCGTCTCTCTAGACCCTTGATTTTTTTTATTAGTCACAGTTGATTCTTGCTCTGGCATGTTTTCGACATTGAATCACAATCAGCTTGTGTATTTCGTTAATCGGATAATTTGAGTTGGCTTGTTGTGTGTTTCTTCCTTTAGCACATTTTTCATTAGATGATTACAGATGACATTAGTATATTTCTTGTTTCCGCTTTATAGGAGGCGAGTTGATGTGTTTTCGAGCCAATGCTGCTTTGTTGTAGCTAAGACAATGGAATGGGAACTAGACATGGATTGTTCAACAATTTGTGGGTGACCTCTCCTTCCTCGACTCCACACCCTTTGGGAAGCTATTGGACTCATGCATCCGAACCAAGTCGGCACGTGATGCACGTCGCATCCATGCCCGTATCATCAAGACCCAATTTTCCTCGGAGATTTTTATCCAGAATAGGCTCATTGATGCTTATGGAAAATGTGGTTGCTTGGATGATGCACGCAAACTTTTTGATAAAATGCCTGAAAGGAACACTTTCACTTGGAACTCCATTTTAAGCACATTAACGAAGTTGGGTTTAATTGATGAGGCTGTGAAGATTTTTAGGTTAATGCCTGAGCCTGACCAGTGCTCATGGAATTCGATGGTATCAGGGTTTGCCCAGCATGACTGCTTTGAAGAATCTTTGGAATATTTTGTTAGATTGCATGGGGAGAATTTTGTGCCAAATGAATACTCATTTGGTAGTGCTCTTAGTGCTTGTGCAGGTTTAAGAGAGTTGAAAATGGGTGTTCAAATTCATGCTGTAATTGCAAAATCCTCGTACTCATCAGATGTTTATATGGGGTCTGCACTTATTGATATGTACTCTAAATGTGGGAGTGTTTCTTGTGCACAAAGAGTTTTTGATGGGATGAATGACCGGAATACTGTTTCTTGGAACAGTTTGATTACTTGTTATGAGCAGAATGGCCCAGCAAGCGAAGCCTTGGAAGTTTTTGTGAAGATGATGGAGTGTGGGTTCAAACCGGATGAACTAACTTTAGCCAGTGTGGTAAGTGCATGCGCAAGCTTGTCCGCAATAAAGGAAGGTCAGCAAATACATGCTTGTGTTGTAAAATGTGATAAATATAGGGATGATCTTGTTCTGTGCAACGCATTAGTTGATATGTATGCAAAATGCAAAAGAGTAAAAGAAGCCAGATGGATTTTTGATGGGATGCCTGTTAGAAATGTTGTTTCAGAAACTTCCATGGTAAGTGGATATGCAAAATCGGCAAGCGTAAAAGCAGCAAGATTGATGTTTACAAGGATGATGGAAAGAAATATAGTCTCTTGGAACGCACTTATTGCAGGGTACACACAGAATGGGGAAAATGAAGAGGCCCTTGGACTCTTTCTCCTCCTAAAGAGGGAGTCTGTTCTGCCAACCCACTATACATTTGGGAATCTACTCAATGCGTGTGCAAGTCTTGTTGATCTGCAGCTTGGCAGGCAGGCTCATGTACATGTATTGAAGCACGGATTTCAATTCCAGGTCGGGGAAGAGCCTGATATTTTTGTCGGGAATTCTCTAATAGATATGTATATGAAATGTGGATCTATTGAAGATGGCTGTCTTGTTTTTAAAAATATGTTGCAAAGGGATTATGTCTCCTGGAATGCCATGATTGTGGGGTATGCACAGAATGGTTACGGGATTGAAGCTCTTGAAGTATTTAGAAAAATGTTGGCATCAGGGGAGCAACCAGACCATGTCACTATGATTGGTGTGCTATGCGCTTGTAGCCACGCAGGATTGGTTGATGAAGGAAAAAAGTACTTTTACTCAATGAGTGAGGAACATGGTTTGGTACCAATGAAGGACCATTATACATGTATGGTTGATCTGCTTGGTCGAGCTGGCTGCCTTATTGATGCCAAAAATTTGATAGAGGTCATGCCAATGCAACCTGATGCTGTTATATGGGGGTCTTTGCTTGCTGCTTGTAAAGTTCATCGTAACATTACCTTAGGGGAGTATGTGGCCGAGAAGCTTTTAGATATTGAACCTAGGAACTCTGGACCATATGTTCTTCTCTCAAACATGTATGCCGAGCTTGGGAGATGGGCTGATGTTATACGAGTAAGGAAGCTGATGAGGCAACGGGGAGTTGTCAAGCAGCCAGGTTGCAGTTGGATTGAAATACAGGGTCATGTGCATGTTTTCCTGGTGAAAGATAAAAGGCATCCTCAAAGGAAAGAAATACATTATGTTTTGAAGTTGCTTCTTGAACAGATGAGGCGATCTGGATATTTCGAAGATGCTTGTGATCTCGAGTCCGATGAAGAACATGGCGAATCCCAACTAACCTCATTGTACCACATCGATATGTTGGAAGATGCAGCAGTCGGGTGATTTTCCTCGATAAAATTTGGTAAATACTCATCTTCATTCTTGGAAAAGAAAAAGAAAAGAAAGCTCACAGAGTAATGTCATACTTTATTGTTACCATGCCTATGTTTCTTCATTTCAATTTATGGTGGACGATTATGCATTGGGTGCAAAAGAGAGAATCTCTTCGTTTTGGGGCAGATTATAGTGAGCTTCTTTAGTAATGGATCCATTCAATGATGATTCAGATTTCTCCTTGGATATAAGTAGTGATTTTGATTCATCTGAAAAGCCGTCGTTCATATCACGGTTTATATGCAGAGGGCAAGATGCGACTGAGGTAATATCTCCTATACAGGCATACAGCCTTCCCTAGTTTTGCATCTTCAGATTTCTAAAGGCATACAAGTTATCTGCCGCCTGACTTATGGGATAAATTGCCATTCTTAGTTTCATACCAACCGAAGGCTGTCCATAAGAATGGAAGGCGATCCCCATCCCTTTACCGAACTAAGAAACATGGCTTCCGTGTCAGTATCGACCCATGGAGACTGATAAAGTTGAGCATAGAGAAAGCATTGATAGCAGCAGAGAAAGGATTTGAACCACTACCGTTAGAGACCAAATGTGGACCTCCGATGATGAGCACACATAATAAAAGCGCAGCCACTGCAGGATCAGGCTTAACACCTCTGATATCCAAAGGGGGGATGCCAGGGTCACCCGGCGGAAAGTTTTGAAGCCCAAGAAGGCGGTTTTCTGGCTCACCAACCATGTTCTCTGGCATTGTGCCCTCACCAAAGAACAAGTAGGGAAAAAAAAAGTACCAAGTAGAGAAATAATCTTACATTCATGTAAATGCATGTTAATGGTATTCATGTTGTTCTACATCAAACTAATATTGCCTGATGTGGGTGAGGCCAATCGACCAAGGGCCGTTCCATAGAGTAGTATAAAAAGGAAAACTAACGAAAAGTCTAAAAAAAACTCTAGTTTTAATGAAAAATGACAAATAAAGGTGTAGTGAATAGTATCAAAAAAGTTAAAAATATGATTTTTCGTTAAAAGTGAATAGTACCAAGAGTGTTTCGTTAAAACTTCTTATAAAATATCGCTTTGTCAAAAACATAATTACCGAGATTGCCTAACATTTGGCATCATCGCCGAGCTCCTCTGTCTGAACATTACATTTGGCTTCAATGGAATAAATAGAAAACTAACTCTAAACAGGAATGTTCTTTAATAATTAATTGTCATAATGCAACGTGAATATTAAGAACAAAAGTAACATCTTCATGCCAAAATTTGTGAAAGATTTTTCAGTGTACCGGGAACATGGCTTTGATACACAAAGTGTCATATTACAAGTGGTTTGATACTTGAAAAAAAAAATCTAATCAATTGTATTATAATACTTGATGTATCAGACCGTGTTTCCGGTACATTGAAACATTTATCCTTCGTTTTGGAAGCACACTGGGATGCACCAATAACAGCTGGCAGCTTGGCACCAATAAATAGCCCATAAAAGGCCCAATTACACCATTACAGAAATGAGCAATCTTCTCCAACTCGTCAGAGTCGGAACTCAAAAACTCAAAGAAGAGAGTGAGCGAGAGAGGAAGAGAAAGATAACCAAGAGAATTGAACGGTGCCGTTTCGCAAGCCATCTTCTTCCACGAGCCAAAAAAGCTTCGTCCCAAAACCTGCAACTTTCTCCGGGTCAGTTTCATCCTCCATTTCCCATCTCCTTGGTTTTTTTCGTTTGGATTTTTCTGTTGCATTTGCATATTCTAATTTTGGGGGGTTTTCGGATACTATGCACGTAGTAATTCAATTCTCATGTGATGCAAATGATCGTTTGAACCCTTTGAGTTGTTTTAATATTAATCTTAATTTTGATAATTAATCAAAAGTTTAGAGTTGAAGTTGTCATTGAGTTGTTATTTTTACAAGCCCTTGGAAAATTAAAGTTTTATCTCAATGGAATTTTGAATGGAATGTTGAATTTCTGTTACTTTTTGCGCTTGCTTGGTATGTGGATTGATCATATGAATTTTGATCAAGTTGTATAGGAGTATGGCAATGAGAGTGCACCGTGTTTCACTCCAACAGAGTGGCATTTGTTCCTTTGTGGTTGAGTATACGGAATTTATCCCTTTGGAATGATGGATTTAAGTATCTGTGACGGGGGATGCATTTCGAGGGAAAGGAGGGTCCGATTGTAGTTGAGGATATGAAAATGGATATTTGAAGTGTTTTACCAAATCGTAAAGTTTGTTTGTTAGCTTTTTATTTCCCTCCCTCTTGTATTTTTATCAACTTGAGGAACATTATTAGAAATGTTTTAAGCTCTTGGTTTTACTATCTAAGTCAATAAAAAGCCCAATTACTGGCTCAATACAAAACATTATTAGAAATGTTTTAAGCCCAATAGTCGGCCCAAAAACCAATGTAGGGCCCGCAGTTGACAAAAACCCTAGCTGTGAGAGAGAGAATTTGAGAGAGCGAGAATGGTGTCCGGCTCAGGAATCCGCGCGAAGCAAGTGGTGGTGGATAGGCACCACCACATGCTCGATCATCTGGCGCGGTCGTGACCAAGGGCCTTCTCAACGGCCAGCCGATCGCAGTCGTGCGCACCAAGCAGACCACCATACCATGATTATAGGGATATTCACTTCGGACACCCCAAGAGCAGACCGTCATACCATGATTGTAGGGGTATTCACTGCGGACACCCCAAGCGATGTCTCAAACTTGGACGCAGCTGAAGAATCGAACCGTTACCCATTTGTCGTCTGGTCCGTCGAGCTCCTCTAAAAAAATTCCTTTTTCAAACCAAGGGTAGGCTGTGACGAATGAAACATCTCATTGTTCCGTTGTCCTTGTCCGACATTCTCTAAACAAGTACAAACACTCCAGAGTAGTGCGGTGTGTCAAAGGTGCCAAAGCCAGTTGAATGACTAGAACTGTCCGGTCTTCAAAAATGATCTCTGGACTCCTAAGCACAGGGAAGTACCACTTGAGCCAAATTTGTACCATCCAAAGTGGCCCTTGCCGATTGGTCTGGAATGGCCTATCTTTGATCATCTTGTCCAACATCGAGTACAGATAAGAGAGCACGAATGGCCCCATGGCAACATCTTCATAGGCATTCAATGCCTCAGCCAGAGGAATCCATTCCAATTTGATGTATTTGGAGGGATTTGGAAACAAGAATTTGTTGAGCCAATACAACAGGAAATGTACGTGCTCCTGATCGGGATTTGCCCGAAGGGAGTTGGAACTAGAACGTCCCTTGAAATAATGCAAAAATCCTGAGAAAGAGGTGCCTGAGGCCTTGAGCTTGGCCGGATCGCTATTCATTTTCACAAGAAGAAGGATAGCTCCGACATTTCCTTTCTTCTTCTTATTGGTTTCCCTAGGAGCTGCCCAGTCCTTGGTGATGTCAACACATTTGCTCGACGGTCGAAGCCCGAACAACTGAGCCATATCTAGGATCGTGGGTGTCATCGGGCCCATTATGAAATTGAAGGTGTTGGTGGTGTTGTCCCAAAACATCATTACTGCACTGAGAAGCTCGAGATTCAAAGTGATGCCTTGCTTGGACAGCATAATCAGGTCGTGGATGCCGTTGGATCGCCATTTAGCTTCATGAATGGGCTTCAAGTTATCAATCCATTGTCCCCACTCTTCACTGGAGGGAGTAGGGAAGCCCTGGGTAGCGTGACTCCAACCTTGTGGACAAATACCAGTTCTGGTCCTATATGGATTGGGAGTGATCCATGTTGCTGCCAGCGGGTTACACTCCACTACATCTGGGACTGGGCGAGTCTATGCAGGACCCAGAGAGAATGCATCTCTGTGTTCGAAGAACGCATCAAAATGAAGATCAGGCTGATCTGGGTAGAGCAATCCAATCTGATGTCTGAGTTTGGTAATGTCGTCACTGATTTTGTATCGAGGACGATTTGAAGCCTTCATTGGAGAAACTTTGAAAGAACAGAGAAACGGGAAGACTGAGAATTCGTAAGGATTGAAGAAATCAGAAGCAAAAGTAATATGGTTCTCAATCTAGTTTTTTCATTTTTATATGTTTACAATTTAACGGTCATTAGTGGCGCAAATATTGATTCTGACTAGGAATTTGAGAGGTTTAAATATAATTAAAGCCAATCTTAATGGTTTAATCCTGTTTGAAAAATGGGCAATGTTCGGACAGAAGATAAGCAGTTAGGCCTGTTTCTAAGGCCCAACCTTATTTATTTCCCATTTAGCCCATTATTTGACAGATTTAATAAGCAAAGCCCATCAGCCCATTCACAAGGCTAGTCATATTTGTTCACACATTCATACTTGAGGAACATCAAAAGGTTGTGCAGGCTTGTAGCTGGAGTAGTAAATATCTTGTTCACACATTCATACTTAATATTTGGTTGCGCAGGTAGAGTTTTAATCAATGAGTCGACTCTACAACTTGTATAACAGTCATATCAAACTCTTATGGATGTGATAATAACTTGAGATAGTGCATTCCATGATTCTCGCTAACTTGTTTTGTTTGTTTCAAAGACTTTCTAACACATATCTTTTGTATTTTCCTATTCATGATCCTTTAGTCTAGAAAAATTCTTCTACGCAGTTGTTCGTATGTAGAAACTATCAATTCAATGGGATCACAAGGTACCTTGGATGCTAAGAAAATATAACGACTATTTTGTGAGTGGCCGCACGTACTTATGACCCTTTAGTCGCACACTAAAATTTCTCCTTAGACCGAGATGCATGTCAACTTTACACTACACTAAAAACACATCATATTGTTAAGGAAATGCTTGGTAACTTATCATTTAACACTCACTTTCATATCTAAATCACTCCAAAAAGATTTGTTGTGAGAAAATATTGTTTGGTTCATAAATTTTCTCTAGTGCATATCAAAAGAAAGTTCAGTTCCGAACAAGAGTGCACCAGAGATAACCTCTTGGTTCTACCATCCAAGTCAATAAAAAGCCCAATTACTGTCTCAATACAAAACATTATTAGAAATGTTCTAAAGCCCAATAGTCAGCCCAAAAACCGATGCAAGGCTTGCAGTTGACAAAAACCCTAGCTGTGAGAGAGAGAATTCGAGAGAGCGAGAATGGTGTCTGGATTAGGAATCCGCACGAAGCGAGTGGTGGTGGATAGGCACCACCACATGCTCAATCATTTGGCGCGGTTGTGACCAAGGACCTTCCCAACGGCCAGCCGACCGCAGTTGTGCACGCCGAGCAGACCGCCATATCGAGAAGTCTGGTGACTGCCTTGTGGATGTGCTGATGGGCTTTACTTATTAAATCTGTCAAATAATGAGAAATAAATAAGGTTGGGCCTTAGAAACAGCCCCAACTGATTATCTTCTGTCTAAACATTGCCTATTTTTTAAACATGATTAAGTCATTAAGATTGGCTTTAATTATATTTAAACTTCTCAAATTCCTCGTCAGAACCAATATCGGCGCCACTAATGACTGTTAAACTGTAAACATATAAAAAATGAAAAAACTGGACTGAGAACCATATTACCTTTGCTTCTGATTTCTTCGTTACGAATTCTCAATCTCCCAGTTTCTTAGTTCTTTCAAAGTTTCTTCAATGGCGGCTTCAAACCGTCCCCGATACGAAACCGATGACGGCTTCACCAAACTCAGACATTAGATTGGATTACTCTACCCAAATCAGCCTGATCTTCATCTTGATGCGTTCTTCGAACACAGAGATGCATTCTCTTTGGGTCCTGCATGGACTCGCCCAGTCCCAGATGTAGTGGAGTGTGACCCGCTGGTAGCAACATGGATCACTCCCAATCCATATAGGACCAGAACTGGTCTTTGTCCACAAGGTTGGAGTCACGCTACCCAAGGCTTCCCTACTTCCTCCAGTGAAGAGTGGGGACAATGGATTGATGACTTGAAGCCCATTCATGAAGCTAAATGGCAATCCAACGACATCTACGACCTGATTATGCTGTCCAAGCAAGGCATCACTTTGAATCCCGAGCTTCTCAGTGCAGCAATGGTGTTTTGGGATAACACCACTAACACCTTCAATTTCAGAATGGGCCTGATAACACCCACGATCCTAAATATGGCTCAGTTGTTCGGGCTTCGACCGTCGGGCAAATGTGTTGACATCACCAAGGACTGGGCAGCTCAAAGGGAAACCAATAAGAAGAAGAAAGGAAATGTTGAAGCTATCCTTCCTTTTGTGAAAATGAATAGCGATCCGGCCGAGCTCAAGGCCTCGGGCACCTCCTTCTCGAGATTCTTGCATTATTTTAAGGAATGTTCCAGCTTCAACCCCCTTCGGGCAAATCCCGATCAGGAGCACGTACATTTCCTATTGTGTTGGCTCAACAAGTTCTTGTTTCCAAATCCCTTCAAATGCATCAAATTGGAATGGATTCTTCTGGCCGAGGCATTAAATGCCTATGATGATGTTGCCATGGGGCCATTTGTGCTGTCTCATCTGTACTCGATGCTGGACAAGATGACCAGAGATAGGCCATTCCAGACCAACCGGCAAGGGCCACTTTGGATGGTACAAATTTGGCTCCAGTGGTACTTCCCTAAGCTTAAGAGTCCAGAGATCATTTTTGGAGATCGGACAGTACTAGCCATTCAACTGGCTTTGGCACCCTTGACACACCACACTACTCTGGAATGTTTGTACTTGTTTAGAGAATGTCGGACAATGACAACAGAACAATGGGGTGTTTCCTTTTTCAGAGCCTACCCTTGGTTTGAAAAAGGAATTTTTTTGGAGGAGCTCGACGGACCATATGAAAAATGGGGAACGGATCGATTCTTCAGCTGCGTCCAAGTTCGAGACATCGCTTGGTCATCCCCACTAGTTTGTCTACTCTTCTTAATCTTAGTTCCAATAAATCTAATTGATTGGTCATCCACTTAGATTTATCTAATTATCTAGAAACAAGTTCACAATGATAGCCAGTCACAATAACATTCGAGACTAGAATAGATTAAGAATGAAACATGGCATGTAATCGAATAATAATAAACAAGATATTTCAGAAATAATCATGTCATGGCTTCATCATAAGCCTTAGAAAAGTAGTTTAAGTACACATAGTCATAATAAAAATCACAAAAGAAGTCATGGAAGAAGTGTTGGATATATGTCAACATTCTGTGATAATTTATATATGCTAATAATTTATCTTCCGGAAAAACCTGTAAAGATATGGGAAACGTAGTTTTATCTCTTATTTTTCCACGCCTATATCGCACGTCACTAGGAAAAATCTTCTCCAACTAGTCAAAGTCGGAACTCTGAAACTCAGAAGAGAGTTGAACGGTGCTGTTTCGCAAGCCATCTTCTTCCAAGAGCCGAAAAAGCTTCGTCCCAAAACCTGCAACTTTCTCCGGGTCAGTTTCATCCTCCTTTTCCCATCTCCTTGGGTTTTTTTCGTTTGGATTTTTCTGTTGCATTTGCATATTCTAATTTTTGGGGGTTTTCGGATACTATGCACATAGTAATTCAATTCTCATGTGATGTAAATGATCGTTTGAACCCTTTGATTTGTTTTAAGATTAATCTTAATTTTGATAATTAATCAAAAGTTTAGAATTGAAGTTGTTATTTTAGTTGCTTGGATTAGGAAATATTTTTACAAGCCTTTGGAAAATTAAAGTTTTATCTCAATGGAATTTTGAATGGAATGTTGAATTTCTGTTACTTTTTGTGCTTGCTTGGTATGTGGATTGATCATATGAATTTTGATCAAGTTGTATAGGAGTATGGCAATGAGAGTGCACCGTGTTTCACTCCAACAGAGTGACATTTGTTCCTTTGTGGTTGAGTATACGGAATTTATCCCTTCGGAATGATGGATTTAAGTATCTGTGACGGGGGATGCATTTCGAGGGAAAGGAGGGTCCGATTGTATTGTAGTTGAGGATATGAAATTGGATATTTGAAGTGTTTAACCAAATCGTAAAGTTTGTTTGTTAGCTTGAGGAACATCAAAAGGTTGTGCAGGCTTGTAGCTGGAGTAGTAAATATCTTGTTCACACATTCATACTTAATATTTGGTTGCGTAGGTAGAGTTTTAATCAGTGAGTCAACTCTACAACTTGTATAACAGTCATATTCTTCAGAAAATATAGTGGACATAACTACCAGTTTTGGGTCGAAAGATTTCATAACAAAAACGGGGATTTCCTTGTTATCTCCAAATCAGAAAAGGAAGGCTTTGTCAGAAATATTCTCGTCCCTGAAGGTTTTAACTTTTTCGGATGGAGAAGTTTAGAGGTCTTATTGTCTGAAATCCTCCGTGGGGGAAAGAGAGTGGGGGCTACTCAGAGGAAAGTGAAAAGAGTCGGAAAAGAGTTTGTGAACAGCCAGACGGGTGCAGGCCATCAGGTTTCGTATAGGGATGCTGTCCTCGGAGGCAAGACGGCGACAATTGTGGCACCCACTCGAAATGCCAAAGAGGAAATATGGATGAAGAAAATCTGGAATAAGAGAGACATTTCCAAGGAAGCCTACAGTTGGGGGAGCGTAGTTGTTTGTGAGAGACAGGTGGTACATCAACCTTGGAGAGAGGTGGAGGCCTCACTTCGAAATCTTCTGGGAATGGAAATAAGACTCTCGCCTTTCCAATGCAACAAGGCGTTGTTCGTCTGTCAGAACGAAGAGGAAGCAACCAAAATTGCTCAACTTGGAACTCTAGCCATGAAAAAGCTACCAGACGTGGTGATGTCTGGATGGTGGGACAGTATCAATTCAAATCACAGAAAGGTGGTTAGTTATGGCGGTTGGGTTGCTCTGGAAGGATTACCGCCACACCTTTGGACCAATAATTTTTTCCTGAAGATTGGAGAGGCCTGCGGAGGTCTGGTAGAAATCGACCGAAGAACCGCTAACTTTGATTTCTGCTCGAAGCAAAATTAAAATTGAAACCCAACGACACAGGCTTTATTCCAGAGTTCGTTGATGTGGCAGATGGAGAATCAGTTTTCAGGGTTAAAATTCGTCAACTTTCGCCAGCAAAGAGACCTAATCTTTCGGCTGAAGACGGTGGAGCAACTAAATCACCAAATGGATCTTTGAAGAAGGACCTGAAAATACAGAGGCTCACCGGAGCTACCCTTCCGGCGAAGGCGGATATGCAACAATCAGTTCCTTTTCCGGGGACACGTGTCTCTTTCCGGATTGGTGAGTTTGAATGCCCTGTCACTGTTGGAGCTGACAGAAAGTATGGTCTGAACAGGCTTTTGACAGAGGATGCACGGCATGAGGAGTCTGCAACCCATGACTTTACTTTCTCTATTAGCAAGCACGGGTGGCCACTTCAGACAGAATGTCTGACAGATTCGGCGAGCTTTATAGAAGAACAAGAAAATGCAGATGCAAAGGATAATTTCAAGAATTCAAAAAGGAAAGAAAGTCTCAGACAAAGGTGCTTTTTGGAAAATGGCAAAGGCATGGAAGTAAGTGGGAGAGCAGGTGGCGGTGGTGGTATGTCCACCGAAGAAGCACAAAGCTCTACAAGTGGGTATTATTTTAATAGATCAAACAAGGAGGTTAGTCTAAAAAGTAAAGAAAAAGCTTTGATGGTGCGTGGGCCCCTGGTTCACAAGGAGTTTGATCTAAGTGACTTTGTAAGGCTCGTGGGTCTTGTTCCACAAAATAATTATGCTGGGTCATGTCTAGGCCCACTTATTCTATACTATGATGGGCTGAGATATCATTTTCAGTTAGGAAGGGAACTATCAAACAAGATCTTTTGGCACTCAGCCATGTCGGCAGAACCAAAGTTGTCGTATCGGGTGAGCAACATGCCAAATTTTACTACAGAGATTTTATTTCAGCGACAACAGGCTAAGGAAGCTCATTTCGACGGTGTCCCAAAAAAATCCCCCACTTGTTTCAATTTGAAGTTTCTTGGGAGATTTGGTGAAATAGACAAACTTGGAAAAAGGCTGAAGCTTCTTCTCCCACACGAATTCGGATCTAACCAGACTGGTGTCGTAAGGCCTGAAATGATGGAAATCCATTCCCCCAATCTTTCCATCTTAGATTCTGTTGGTGAATTAGAGGAAGAAAAGGAGAGTGATGTTGATGAAAATCCTGTTCGGCGATCGGGCTGGTCGACAGAGGAGAAACCATTTGATCAAAGGATGAGATGGACAGAGGCTCTTGGATTGGATTCGTCTTTTTTATCAGATAGTGCTGAAGAAGAATACATGTCACAATCATCAGATTCAGATGAGGAGAATGGTGACTCTTCACAAGACGAAAAAGAACCATCTGATGTTTTTGATCGGTTCAACGGGGAGCTTCACAACCTCTTCACAGATACAAATTTGGAAACAGAGGCGACAGCGGAAGAGGAACCAAGTCAAACGCATCATGTAGTAGCATTAGAAGATGTGGAGCAGTCCGATTTCAAGGATATTGGAAAAAACAAGAAAATGTTAAAGTACAGTAGAAGGAAAAGATCGGCTTGTGTATCAGTCAAACGCGAGGCACAAGATCAATCTTCCAAATTTTTGTCAAAGATGAAAGTTTCCTTGTTTCCTCTGAAAAGGTCTTTATTCCATGAAATGAAGACTGGGAAAGTTAAAGTCAGCAAGAGTGAGGGTGGAAGCAAGGGAGACAAGAAATTTCAAAGGGGTATTATCAGACTTAATGAAGATAATTAGCTGGAATGTTAGAGGATTGGGAAGTAAACAGAAGAGACTGACATTGAAACAGCAGTTCCGACGTTTACAGCCCGATATCATTATCTTACAAGAAACTAAGAAAACATCAATCGATAGGAGACTTGTGGCCAGCGTGTGGGGAAGCAGATTTAAAGAGTGGATTTATGCCCCTGCTCAAGGAAGTTCTGGGGGCATAGCAGTAATTTGGAACACCAAAAACATCTCAGTTACTGAATCTCTGATTGGAGTTTTCTCTGTCTCCATAAAAATTAAGGCCTTCAACGGGTTGGAATGGTGGTTATCAGGGGTCTATGGCCCTTGCAAAAGTAGAGAGCGAAGGGAGTTCTGGGAAGAAATGGCTGGCCTTTACGGACTGTGCGGACCAAAATGGTGTGTAGGAGGGGATTTTAACGTGGTGAGATTTGTAAACGAGAAATCAAATGGGGGAAGGCTGACTACAAGCATGAGGAATTTTAATGATTTCATTCGAGAAACAGAACTCAAAGATTTGGAATTGCTTAATGCTCAATTTACATGGTCAAATTTCAGAGAAGAACCTGTGTGTCGGAGGCTAGACAGATTTCTGGTCTCTGCAGGTTGTGAAGAGATTTTTCCAGAGGTAAGACAAATGGCTTTGGCAAGGGTAATTTCTGATCATTGCCCTATCCAGCTAGAATCCAACAAGGTGAAATGGGGGCCAAGTCCTTTTAGATTCGAAAACATGTGGCTACAACATCCAGAGTTCAGGAACAAGTTCAATCTATGGTGGCAATCTGAGCAGGTGGAGGGATGGGAGGGTTACAAGTTTATGATCAAGTTAAAAGCCATAAAAAAAAAGGTGCAAAGATGGAGTAAGGAGAGTTTCGGGGAAGTCGAGAAAGACTTTAAAGAAGCTGAGGCTAGCTTAGAGGAGTTAGATAGGAGAGAGGGGATGGAAGGGCTAGATGTTGATGCTAGAAGAAAGAGGGAAGAACTACTCTTCCTTGTGGGAGATTTGGCTTACAAGGAAGAAGTGAAATGGAGGCAAAGAAGTAAAGTGGAATGGGCAAAGGAAGGGGATGGTAATACTAAATTTTTCCATCGAGTTGCAAGCGGGAGAAGGAAGAGAAACTATATAGAAAGGTTGGAACCGGAGGTTGGGGGAGTGATAGAGGATGCGAACGAGATAGAAGATCATATAGTCAATTTCTTCAAGTCCTTGTTTAGTAGCAACGAAGAGGCATGTTGGGGCTTGGAAGGTATCAATTGGGCTCCAATAAGCGAACTTGAGGCGAATTGGATTGAGAGGCCTTTTGAGGAAGCCGAAGTTCAAAGAGCAGTTTTTGATTGTGGAAAGGATAAATCGCCAGGACCGGATGGCTATTCTTTGCAAATGATTCAACAATGTTGGGATATCTTGAAGGCGAACATTATGAAGATTATGGAGGAGTTCTACGAGACAGGGATAATAAATGCGGTGACAAATGAAACTTTTATTTGTCTAATTCCGAAGAAGTCAGATTCTATGAAAGTGACGGATTTCAGGCCCATAAGTCTTGTGACTGGGTTATATAAAATTATGGCGAAAACCTTGGCCTCAAGATTAAAGGAGGTTTTGGGCAGCACAATTTCTCAAAATCAAGGAGCGTTTGTTAAGGATCGACAAATATTGGATGCTGTCCTTATCGCAAATGAAGTGGTAGAAGAGGTCAGGCAGAAGAAAGAGGAGGGATTGGTGCTCAAAATAGATTTTGAAAAAGCGTATGATCATGTAGAGTGGAGATTTTGGACGAAGTCTTACAAAGAAAAAGCTTTGGCAACAGATGGAGGAAATGGATGCAGGGATGCTTAAGTTCCGCAAATTTTTCTGTTTTGATTAACGGGAGGCCTAGGGGAAAATTTCAAGCTTCAAGAGGTTTGAGACAAGGTGATCCACTGTCACCTTTTCTTTTTACCTTAGTAGTCGATGTTTTGAGTAGGTTAATGGAGAAGGCTCAAGAAAATCATCTCATCAAAGGGTTATGTATTGGGCAAGAAAAGGTGGAGATTTATCATCTTCAATTTGCAGATGATACCATTTTTTTCTTGGCGGAAGATGAGGGAGGTTGGAACAATCTATTAGAGCTGCTCAAATTATTCTGTTCTGTTTCAGGGTTGAAAATCAACAAAGCTAAGTGTTATTTGGCCGGAATAAATTCAGATTGTGAGAAATTAAATAGGTTGGCGGATTCTTGGGGTTGTGAGGTAGGTAGCTGGCCTATAAAGTATTTGGGACTCCCTCTTGGGGGTAGGCCAAGAGCACTCAAGTTTTTGGGATCCAGTGGTAGATAAGATGGAAAAAAGACTTCAAAGTTGGAAGAAGGCCTTCTTATCCAGAGGAGGTAGATTAACTCTGATTCAATATGTTTTGGGAAGCTTGCCGACCTACTACATGTCTCTGTTCAAAATGCCTTGCGGGGTGATTGGACGCCTAGAAAAACTAATGAAAGGATTTTTGTGGGAAGGTGTGGAGGAAGGAAAGAAAAACAACCTGGTAAAATGGGAGATAGTTATTAAAAGTAAAGAGGAAGGAGGTTTAGGGGTGGGGAATTTGAGGAATCGGAATGAAGCATTACTTGCTAAGTGGTTGTGGAGATTCCCAAAGGAACCTCATTCTCTCTGGCACAAAGTGATAAGAAGCAAATATGGGCTACAGGATAACGGATGGAACGCATTTCCTCCGATAAGGGGTTTCAAGCCGTAGCCCATGGAAAGATATATCGATTGGTTCCCAATTGTTTCTTCACTGCTGTAAGTTCGAGGTGGGCAACGGGGAGAGGGTGAGGTTTTGGGAGGATGGGTGGTTAGATGGAGGACCATTGAAAGAGCAATTTCCTAGATTATTCTTGCTATCGAGGAAGCACAATCAGAACATTTCAAGCTTTGTAGATCTTTCTACCAATTCTTTAAGTTGGAATTTTGATTTCAGGAGAAATTTGAATGAGGCGGAGATAGAAGAGGCGGCTAGATTATTACAGAAAGTGGAAGAGGTCCGATTGTCTCAATCAAGAACGGATAACAGAAGGTGGAAAATGGAAGCATCAGGATTGTTCACATGCAAATCCTATTGTTCCTTCTTGAGTAACAATGGGATGATGCAATACTTCCAACCCCATTCACAGATTTGGAAATCCAAAGTTCCTCCGAAGGTTAAGATTCTTGTATGGTTGGCGGCCAAAGGGAAGCTCAACACTTGTGACCAAATTCAAAGGAGAAGCCCTTTTATTTGCTTATCCCCACAATGGTGCAGTTTGTGCAAAGCAAAGGAGGAGAGTGTAAACCACATTTTTCTCCATTGCTCTTACACGATTCAGCTGTGGTGGAAACTGTTTCAGGAGGTTAGAGCTAGTTGGGTCATTCCAAAGGGTTGTTTCGAGCTTCTAAGCACCAAGTTTCAGGCCCTAGGAAGTGGGAGGAAAGCTAAAGCTTTGTGGGGTTGTCTGGTCTCGGCAGTTTTTTGGAACATTTGGCTGGAGCGTAACAAAAGAATTTTTGAGGATTATACAGGTGTGGGGGTAGAAGTACTTTGGGGAAGAGTAAAATATTGGGCAGCCCTTTGGGCGTCAGTCTCAAATGTTTTTAATAACTACTCTATTTCTCAATTACTGTGGGATTTGTTAGCAGCAGTAAAGTGAGTTAGGTCTAGCTAATGTTGCTGTAGCCAAATCCTAGTGAGAGTTTTTTCTTGTTTCTTGTTAATGGTGGATTTCTTATCCACTCCAGTGTATTTCTCTTTTCTTCTATAAAATGTTTTGTTTCTTCTCAAAAAAAAAATAATAACTTGAGATAGTGCATTCCATTATTCTTGCTAACTTGTTTTGTTTGTTTCAAAGACTTTCTAACACATATCTTTTGTATTTTCCTATTCATGATCCTTTAGTCTAGAAAAATTCTTCTACGCAGTTGTTCGTATGTAGAAACTATCACATCAATGGGATCACAAGGTACCTTGGATGCTAAGAAAATATAACGACTATTTTGTGAGTGGCCGCACATACTTATGACCCTTTAGTCGCACACTAAAATTTCTCCTTAGACTAAGATGCATCTCAACTTTACACTACACTAAAAACACATCATATTGTTAAGGAAATGCTTGGTAACTTATCATCTAACACTCACTTTCATATCTAAATCACTCCAAAAAGATTTGTTGTGAGAAAATGCGGTTTGGTTCACAAATTTTGTCTAGTGCATATCAAAAGAAAGTTCAGTTCCGAACAAGAGGGCACCAAAGATAACCTCTTGGTTCTACCATCCAAGTGAATAAAAAGCCCAATTACTGGCTCAATACAAAACATTAATAGAAATGTTCTAAGCCCAATAGTCGGTGTCCGGCTCAGAATTCGAGAGAGCGAGAATGGTGTCCGGCTCAGGAATCCGCGCGAAGCGAGTGGTGGTGGATAGGCACCACCGCATGCTCGATCATCTGGCGCGGTCATGACCAAGGACCTTCTCAACGGCCAGTCGATCATCTGACGCAGAAGCTGAAGTACATGAAGTTCCTCAGGAAGCGCATGAACACCCAACCCTCTCAGGGCCCCATCCACTACCTCTCTCCCGCCAAAATCTTATGGCGCAACGTCTGAGGGTAATGCCGTAATTTCATAATGCACACTCTGGTCCTCTGTGACCGTTATAATGGCGATTGGTTTGTATTTTTTCCGGGATGATCCGCACAAGTCTAAACGCGGGCTCTGGCGAGGCTGAAGGTTTACGAGGGCATCCCACCGCCGTATGACTAGATGAAGAAGATGGTGGTTCCTGATGCTATCAAGTGAGTATGGTGGCGGTGTGTCTTTTTGTTTTTGTTTTCTAAGTGTTTGATGAATTGCTTCGGTGAATTGGGGTTTGTGATCAATTGTCAAATTAGGGTTTTGAGGCTTCAGAAGGGCCACAAATACAGCTTGTTGGGTCAGCTTTTGTCCGAGGTCGGATGGAATCATTATGACACCATCAAGGTAAGATGAAATTCAACTCAAAAGATTTATGCATTTTGCAATTCTTGTTTAATGATGTCGAAATTTGTTAACATTGCCTTTTATTTGTTGTAAGTAACTTGAATGTAGATTGCATTCTCTTGTAATTTGAATGCAGTTTGGATGTAATTTGAATGTAGATTGTTGTTAGCCACAGCAGAGTCCATACATTTGTTAACTTACAGAGTTATCTTCATCATTTGCATCATTTCACTTGTCGGTTTTATGATGTTTATGTATTTATTCATCCATGAATATGGTTTTCATGATCATACATGGCTTTATATGTTTTTAAAATTTCTTGAGATGTCCTCGAATTTGGAAGCTGCCTTTAAGCTTGGCAATAGGTTTGCATTATACGTGTTTTTGCATCCATGGCATGATGTTCTCGGATTTATATGAATGCAATGTTACATTTGTTGGTAAAGTTATATGCCAAGTACTGAACAAGAGAAAGGAGATAGCTGAGTTGGCATACGAGAGGAAGAAGCTTGGTTGCAGACTGAAAAATCTGCAGAGGAGAAGCTTGGTTCCCAGCTTCAACTCCTTTATTCGGTGACATATTAAAAGTTTAGGGCTATGACGTGGTGTCGTCGTCTTTTTTACCCTCCCAGTCATACGTTCTTTTGTTGAGGATTACATCGGTGAGTTTCTTTTGGCTTTTATTCGGGATTACATCGTAGTGAACTTCTTGTCGAGCATCTCATTTTGAGGAATCAGATCTTTTATTCTGATAAGTTTAAATGAGGAACTTGTTTACCTGTGTTGACTGACTTGAATCGTATGGTTCTAATTTGTTTTATGATATTGTCTTTTTCCATAAAAATTTATGGGTCTCAGTCTTGGTTTCTTTGTTGGCGCCACTTTACTGCCACCAAAAGCCATGGCGGCTTCCGTTGTGTGCATATTGTGTTAACATGGCTAGAGTTTTGGGTGTTTGCCTGACATTTTAGCTTGACGTTTTCTAGCCTATCGGAGAACTATAAACCTATTTTTGAACTGAATTTAAATTCGGGTATGATTTTTGGGTACGTCATCGGACCGTTGAAGATGGTCTTAGTAGAGCTAGAGACTCGTGTGGTGTTTGCACATGTGACAAACTCTGTAAAATGGGATTACACTTTTCTAATCTCGCAAAATATTTAGAGAATAACTCGACTCTAGAACGTACATTCTTGGATGAACTTTCCATGGTACAAATAGAGGACTGAACATCCTACAGTAAACCGCAGGATAACAAATATCAATGGAGGGACGTCTCATTTACACGAGGGAATTCGAACAATGCCCTCCTTTCCGACTCAGCGCTGAAAAATGCAGACCTCCTCATGTTCCGAAGTGTTGGGAGTGAGAACTTGGATTGGTCTTGTATCTGGACGCTGGCTGATCAAACACAAAGAAGTTGGCAAGAAATGTAGAAAACAACCTGCAACATGTTGAAATGATGGTAAAAGGTTTGGAACAAAATATTTAAGACAAAAAACTTGATGAATAATTTGGTTTGACAAGAAATTACCTACTGAAGTTTAGAATGTGAGGAATCTCAGGCCAATATTCAATCTTCATCCTCATCTTAATTAACTAATTGACAAAAAAAAAGAGGTTTGGTCAATACGCAATACTGAAGAAGAAATGTGAGAGAAGGAGAATTGAACAAATGAATTATTTGTTTTGAGAGAGAAGAATTACTTTCGATTTCTGGAATATGAGAAATCTTGGGCCACTCTGTGCCGGTACCCCTGGCGCATTTTTCCTTCAGAAAGGGACATTCAAAAATCCTTAGATATTTTAGTTTGGTGAGGCGTCGCATAGCTTGGGCGGAAGGCAGAGACTTGAGATTCGTGCATTTGTAAATATGTAGATGGTTGAGAGATGTAAGGTCACCCAACCATTCTGGAAGAGTCTCCAGCCCATCACACTCATATATTCCAAAGTATGTTACAGGACTAGTCGAGTGATTAATTACTTGAGGCAGAGACTTGAGCTTGGGCCACCCCACTATTGCCAAGCACTCTGATGATGGAATTTGCGAAACCGGGAAAGAATCGAGCTCCTCCCAGAATCCACCAATCCACAACTTTTCCAAACGAGTCAGAGTGTGTAGACCCGTCGGCAAGTATTGTAATTTCTCACAACTACGTATTGATAAATCGGAAAGAGATTGCAAGCTAGTTACATCGACATCTGCCAGAGATATCAATTTTTTGCACCTTTTAATTTTCAAGTCGACAAGAGATGTGCAGGATGTGAGGTTGTCTAAACTGAGAAGAGCCTTTAAATTCTGACAATCCTTTATTCTCAGTTTGCCAAGGGATGTGCAATCGTGTAAAGAAATCTGCCTCAAATTCTGACAATCCTCTATTCTCAGTTCGCCAAGGGATGTGCAATCGTGTAAAGAAATCTCCTCAAGAGTAGTGATAGAGCCAATGTTCAATTCTGGTCCGCTGCAACTTGCAATAACCAATCTCCGGAGGGCGGTCAGACTGCTCCCCTCATCGGCAACTGAACTCCATCTTAGCATAGGGCAATTCACTATACTCAACTCCTCAAGAGATTCATGACCGCCTGGCAGGCTTGATAGTTGAGCACAATCTTCAATTACAAATTGCCCAAGGGATGGCGGGAATACATCTGAAATTGGAATGGATACCAAGTTTCGGCTACCACTTATTTTCAATCTCTCAAGTGCGTTGCAATTCTCGATACACAGTGAACCAAGGGATGTACAATCCTGTAAATACAACTCCTCCATTGTAGTACTACTGACGATAGACAATTCCAGTACATAACTTGCAATAAGTACCAGTTTCCGAAGGGTCGTCAGACCGTGATTTGAAATGCTTATTAGCTTAGGGCAGTTATAAATGGTCAGCTCCTCAATAAGAGACATGTCTACCCCATAAGCTGAATACTGCCCCAATTGTTGATAATCGTGGACACACAGTGCACGGATAGAAGTACAAGATTCAAGCCCACTCGATACACAAGTCTTTAGTCCATCACAATCTTCAATGGTCAATTCACGAAAGGATGTGCATTCATGTAAACCTGAAATTGACTCCAGACTTTTGCACGACCTTAAAGACAACACCTGTAGAGGGGTATAGCATTCTGGTAGACTTTGCAGGTCCATTAATCTTAATCCACCACATGAACTAATCTTCAATCCTCGAAGGGATGTTGCACCATGAACTGAAATGGACATCAGACTATCGCAGCAACTTATTTCCAAATTTTCAAGATATGGACATTTTATGGACAACTCCTTAAGAGAAACTCGGCCGTACAATTCTGGTCCACTATGCAGGCTCGTTGATGTTAATTTACCACCACGTGAACTAAACAACAATTTCTGGATGGATGTCAAACCAAATAATGAAAGGGATCTAAGTTTGTCGCAGTTGCTTATTTCCATATTCTCAAGAGAGGTACACTTTTCTACCAGACTTGTTAGGTTTGACAGCTCGTGACAAATACTCATATCCAACTTATGAAGGGATGCAAAATGATCAGGAAAATTTCTCATTTGTGGACACTCCACGAGATCCAACTCCTCAAGGCGAGGAAACACCGATATTTGTTTTTCTTTCACCACTGGTGGTTCAATCCATTCGATCAAATTTGGGGCCGCAGTAATTCTGAACGTCTTCAATGCAGGATACAAAACCTTGGTCTTCATTGCATCATCAACGTCATCATAGCCATAAAACTCATCTCCCAAACTTTTTAGATTACACATTGTATTAAACTCAAGATGCATAAGACTAGGTAGATGGCCAAGCATGGGGGCTTCTTCACATACGTCGCACTGAATTAATCGAATTTTTTTCAAGTTGTTGTGCGGCTTCCAATATGGAAATTTAGCACCCATGAAATTGTAAATCTCTAAAATTTCCAAATTTGGGTGTGGCTGGAGGCCTTGGAGAACATCTTCTTCGCTGTTGCTGTGTGGCCTCATTTCCTCACCCCATACAAGTGATAACTTTCGTATGTTTCTCTTTTCAACTAAATTTGATTTCTTCGCTTCTTCTCCATCCCTCACATGTTCCAAATCATAAATAGCCAATTCACCTTTCAAGTGATTTAAGCCAGCCAATTCCTCAATTCCACGACCGATTCCATCAGAACTCACAATAAAATGAGGCATTTTTCGAAGATTAGTCAATTGCTCGACCCCAACATGAGATTCCCTGTACCAACCAAAATTAGCACGTTTCTTTTTTTGGACAGGACCAAAATAGATATGTCTCAAGTTGATCAAATCTCCAATTTCCTTAGGAAACACCTTCAGTAGTCGACAATACTCCATTCTTAATGTCTGTAAGTTATGGAGCTTGCCGACAGATTTGGGGATTGCTTTGATCTTTGTCCTAGAAACGTTTAAATACCTCAACTGCTTCATCTTCTCAATTGATTTCGGCAGCTCCTTAATATCAGCATTGTAAAGATTCAAGACATGTAAACCCCTAAACCTTGGCAACATGTTACTAGGAACTTCACTATTAGAAAACAATGAGCGCAATCCCCTTAAACTTTTTTTTGGTATCAATTCCAAAACCGAAGTAGGAATGTGCGAAGCATGTCGAATCTTCAGTGTGCCAACCATCTCATAAGAATTCGATGTCGCGCTATCAGATTTTGATACAAGTTCTGCAAAATCATGCACAAGAATGTGCATCTTGCATTTGGCAACAACACCAAAGGCATCCTTCGTAAGATCTTGAAGTAAGGAGTTTTGCAACAGAATATGAAAATACTCCGTGCCTATATCCTCCATCTCTAGATCACTATTCTCGGAAGAAGGGTGAAGCAATCCTTGAGCCATCCACAGTTGGATTAGGTCATCCCTTTCCATTTCAAAGCCTTCCTTGAACATTGAGCAATAAGTGAAGCATTGTTTCAAAATTGGGAATTTCAAATTATCCAAACTCAACTTCAATCCCGAGATGATCATCTGTTCTGCTTCTGGAGAGTCCCATATTTTACTGTCTAGAATTGCTGACCATTCACTTGCATCATTCTTAGAACACAACATTCCTCCGAAAACCTGTTGGTTCATATATAGTTAGATTTGTTGTTAAATAATTCATAGGTTGCATAACCGATTATAACAATAAAAACATCAATTTGTAGTTTGACAGAAGCTGACTAATACGTGCACATTGTTTTGTATTGATGCAGACTATAACTTGGCTTGTCCATACAAATGTTTCATTTAAACTTTTTAACATTTCAGTTGACTTCCTATACAGTTTAATCGACTATAACTTGGTGTTGTTAACTTTTTAACTTTTTAACATTTCATTTAAACTATAACTTGGTGTTGTTAACATTTCAGTTGACTTCCTCTACAATTTAGATTTCACATGTGTGGCTGAGATGAGAGAATAGTAAATCTAACACAAACATTTTAATCGACGTGAGAAATATATTTTATTTAAATTGGTTCACAATGATCAAGTTTTGGTGGCTATAATAAATTTGTGACTATCAACCTAGAAGATCTATAATGCAACAGTAGAAGTACATGGGTGAAGAGAAGGAGCAATGGCCTTTTTTAATGACCTTTATGCACTTCTACATTCTTTTTATTTTTACTAGCCATTTAGTTGATAAAGAGAATGTTAGGACCCTGATAAAGTTAATGGGTCAATATATGTAAGAAGGTTAATGAGTCACTTAAGCCCACTAAGGAGAATACTATGTATCAAGATGAATGGGTGTCCAGTGATCAACAATCATTACCGTCTAAGGGAGTGTATCTAGAAAAATGGTCAAGTCTAGTCGGACTATCACGAATGTTTAGGAAAGACAATTTGTCATTATAACACATTTATTGTAGCTCATTAGCTGGCCAATGTCCAAGTTAAAGACGAGAACATGAGTACGTGTAATGCTTGCGGGACAAAGACATTGGTTTCATGAGAGTTTCAATGTCTCGTCGGTGTTTTGGGAAGTCTACATTGTTATTGGAAAACAATGATGGCGTATCTCTCATCTAAGATAGTCATATCTTGTTTAACACCCGGAGTCCGGATATGAGCTAGCCAACATTATATGTATCATATCCAGCCAACATTATATGAAACAAAGTCCTCCATGCACTGTGGGAGACCGAAAGAATTGAACAAACCTTTACAGTGTTAGATAAGATAAAAATTTGTGGAAATGTTCATGATATCAAGATGGGCCATTTTATTTGAAGCTAATCGTTTCATGGTCAAGGAACTGTTGCATTTGACAGAGTTGATACAATATTGTGGTGATAATGCCAAGTCGTCTGATGCCTCGCTAATCCGAGGAAGCAAGATTATTATTGGACGAAGGCAAAGTTGTTCAGTAGATGAATTAAACAACTTTTTGGGTCTTTGTTCAGTAGTATTATATGCATTAGAATCATGAAGGAAAAAGTTGTTCGGTTGGAGGCTAATGTGCTTGTGGGATGCTAGAGAATTTGGAAATTTTTCATTTTCACCAAGGTTATATTTGGGGAAATATTCAGCAATTGATGACAAGTTTGCACTTGTTTTGGTTGTAGCTACCACGCTAATACTTGGACAAAGGCAGAGCTTATTGGGTCTAACTTAGCATAAACTACAATTACGGCATGAAGACATGCCTTTATTTTGGGGGTAGGATTGTTAGGATGCTGGGATTTACGGCTCAAAAGTAGGATGATGCAAAAATTAGGTTTGTGTTACCTATTTCATTTTGGTGTCTTCTTTTAGTTTGGATTTGATTTTTTGGTTGGATTCCTCGCTTGATGGAGAGATTTTGTTGATTAACATTTGATTAGGATTTTGATTTACTTCCAATTAGGATTAGAATTCTCATTGTAACCTAAGTCCTATGCACTATAAAAACACTATAAATAGGACCTTAGGTTTTGGTTTATTTTGTGTGCCAACACCATTATTTTAGAGAGTTTTCTCTCATTGGGTTTTGGGTAGAGGTCACAGTTTGGAGTCATGATTGTGTGGCAAATTCATGGCTTATTCTTTGGCAATTTGGTGAGAATCAGTTTGTGAGTTAGAAAACAATTTGGGAGAATCTTCTCCGTATGTTTGGGTTCTTTACTCTTGTGGTTTAGGGTTTGTAATTTGTGGGATTTGGGTTATGACAGTTAAACACTCTTTTGTAATCTCCATTTGTTTAGTGAAATTCCTCGCCGTGCTTCACCTGTGGACGTAGGCTTTACACCGAACCATATTAAATCGCTTGTGTTCTTATTTTGAGATTGTTTATTTAGTTTTCGCCTATGATGTTGATATTTGGTATTTTGTTAGGATCTGCTTCCATTTGAGCATAAAAGTACAACAAGTGGTATCAGAGCCCAGGTTTCGACTTGGGTTTTGCTTACCAATCACTATGAAGCCTTCTGTATTGTTGGTGAAAGTTGATATCGAAAAGTTCGACGACAATGACTTTGGTATTTGGCAATTGAAGATGCGTGCTTTGTTAGTTCAACAAAGGGTTTTGAAAACACTAAAGGGTGTGAAGGCTTTGCCGTATTCGTGGACCGAATAGGAAAAGGAAGACATTATGGAGCAGGCACTTGGAGCAATCCTGCTGACTTTATCTAATGATGTCTTGCGTGAAGTTGGTAACACCAAATCTATACCGGAGTTCTCAAATTAGAGAGTTTATATATGACAAAACCCCTTGCTAAACGGTTGTATTTTAAGAAAAGTTTGCATACTCTTCGAATGGATGAAGGTATATCAATTCATAAGCATGTTGATGATTTCAATAAACTTATGATGGATTTGAAAAGCGTGGACGACCAAATTAGTGATGATGATTATACGATAACTTTGTTATGTTCTTTATCTCCTTCGTATGAACACTTTGTCGATACCATGCTATTTGGTAGAGAAAGTCTTAGTTTGGAAGATGTTAAAGCCTCTTTGAATTCTAAAGAGCTAAAGAATAAAGTGTATGACACGCAAGATGGAGCTTTGGTAGTTCAAGGAAAGAATAAGAAAATGGGCAAATTTGGAAAGAACACTCGTAGCTATTGTTATAAGGAGGGTCATTAGAAAGTAGATTGCCCTAAACTCAAGGGCAAAAAGAAGCTATTTGATAAGTCTTTTGCTACTGTTGAGGCAAACATTGCAAAAGATTGTTGTTTTGAATTCCTCTAAATGTTATGTGATGAGGAGGTGGAGCTTGGTACTCAAGCTCTTTTGGTGGAGTGCAATTCGCACTTTTGGTTATATGTTCAAGCTTTTTTTGGATTTTGTTTCATATTTGTTAGTTTCAGTAATGAAATTTGTTGGAGAAGGCGTTGGAGGATATTTTTAAGTTTGAAGCGTTTTGGATTTTTTGAGTCTAGGTGGAGATTAGTTCTTTGAAGAATTTGGTGATCATTTTTGCACTTGTAATTTGGTACCCCAAATTGGAGTTTGTATTTGATTTGGAAGTTTCGCTAATTTCTTGCCGAGGTGGAGATTGTTGGGATTTACGACTCAAAATTAGGATGATGCAAAAATTAGGTTTGTGTTACCCATTTCGTTTTGGTTTCCTATTTGAGTTTGGAGTTAATTTCTTGGTTGGATTCCTTGCTTGGTGGAGAGATTTTATTGATTACCTATTTGATTAGGATTTGGATTTACTTCCAATTAGGACTAGGATTTTCATTATAACATAAATCCTATGCACTATAAATAGGACCTTAGGGTTGGTTTATTTTGTGTGCTAACACCGTTAGTTTAGAGAGTTTTCTCTCACTAGATTTTGGGTGTAGGTCACATTTGGAGTCATGAGTGTGGCAAATTCATGGCTCATTTGTTTGGCAATTTGGTGATAATCAATTTGTGAGTTAGAGAACAATTTGGGAGAATCTTCTCCATCTTTTTTGGGTTCTCTAATCGTTTGGTTTAGGGTTTGTAATTTGTGGGATTTGGGTTGTGAGAGTTAAACACTCTTTTGCAATCTCTGTTTGTTTAGTGAAATTCCTCGTTGTGCTTTGACTATGGACGTAGGCTTTGAGCTGAATCATGTTAAATCTCTTGTGTTCTTATTTTTTAGATTGTTTATTTTAGTTTTTGGCTACAATGTTGATGTTTGATATTTAGTATTTTGATGACAAGTTTGCACTTGTTTTGGTTGTAGCTACCACGCTAATACTTGGACAAACGCAGAGCTTATTGGGTCTAACTTAGCATAAACTATTTTGCCACTTAGTATTACGGTCTAGTGTTATTTATCTTCACTTATAAGTGAGAGGTTTTAGGTTCGATTCTCACAAAAAACAAGTTTGAACCACATTATTGCTAACTCATTATGAGGCTAGGCCCACCTCCTCCCTTTAACGTAGATAATATTGTTTGTTCCCGAGGAAAAAAAAACTTAGCATAAACTACAATTACAGCATGAGGACATGCCTTTATTTATGGGGTAGAATTGTTAGGACCCTATAACAATATTTAGTGCCCAATATATGTAACAGGGTTAATGGGTCACCTAGGCCCACTAAGGAGAGTACTATATATTTTTGAATTGTCTTGCATAAATGAAGAATATTGTTATTTAATTTCTTTTTCTTTTTTTCTTTTTTTCCTTTCTTTCTGGTTCCATTAGAGAATCAAATGATAAAATAAAGTAGAGGAGTGCATAAGATCAAAGGGAAGTGCGGAAATTACTTCGTTTAGTATGTGGGCTGAAGTTAAAATTATAACAAATTAGATTTCAAACAAAATAGTGTAAACTTTAAATAAAAATAATAAAAAATAAATACTACTTACCTTTGCCACAGATGGTAAACCTGCACATTCTTTGGCAATCTTTCTTCCAACTTCTTCTAGATCAGGATCTGTAGGAGTAGTATCATCTACAAATGCTCTTCCCTTTAATATGGACCAGCATTCGTCTTCCGATAGAAATCCCAAATCATAGCGAGGAAGTGTTCCCGTAATTGTTGCAAATTGGGAATTACATGTAGTGACAAGTATGGTGCTCCCCCGTGCAAAATGGAGTTTTGACAAACAGCTCATCAGTTTGCTCCATTTTTCAGAGTCTTCATTCCAAACGTCATCGAGTACAAGAAGACATCTTTTCTCTGTCAACCGTTCTCGGAGGCTTTTAAGCACTGCCTCCTGACTTTGTGTATCAACCGTTCCACATTTAACATATTCCAAGATTCGATTCAGAATTGAATCAACGTCAAATGTATTGGATACATATATCCACATTTTCTCTTCAAAGTGTGTACTTATCTCATCTTTAGTAAAAACCAACTTGGCCAAAGTAGTTTTTCCCAAACCGGGCATTCCCACAATGGCCATAACCGAAAGATTTTCTTGATTGACTTCGGAACTGGTCAAGGTTGCAAGTATATTTGACGCGGCCTCATCTCTGCCAACGATGATTTCATCCCCAATTGATGAATTGGTTTCTCTGATCGATCTCATTGCTTGAGAAGGTGCAGAAACTAGTTCCTTAATAGGCGCACAATTCTTGAGATCCACCAAGGACGCGTTGATTTTCTTGATTTGATGTGCTGCTTTAAGACGAAATGCAACGGGATTAGAGAGCGAAATGAAGTTGAGTACCTTTCTCTTCAAAAGGTTTTGTATTTGTAGCTTATGGCGGAGAACTTCATAGTTGATGTCCTCCAAGACATCATCAGCATCATTAGCCACGTCTTTAAGTTTCTCCACCCACACCGCATCAGCATCATCAGCAGCATCACGTGTGATATCTTGAATCAGGGATAATGTTTCATGCAGCCCTGTCAGTTTTGCTTCAAGTCCCCAAGAACGGACGAGCGGTTCAGCAGCAAGTGAAGCCGCCTTTGCAAGCATTCCCTCAGCAGTAAAACTAAATATCCTTGCCATATCCTTCCTTTAGTACACAAAAGACAGAGCAGATTAATACTCAGCTAGTTAAGGAAAGTAGATGAAAAAATCGAGACTAAGAATCTAAGAGCCATCAACAACAATTTGTGATTCGGAACTAACCTGGGTTTAGGATCTGAATTAGTACACTTAAAAGTGAGGAAGGACGGGGAGAGGCCTTAATCGAGAGGCCTTGGACTCGTGGTTGTGGAGAAATAGATTGAGTTCTTGGCGAGAGAGAGAGAGAATTGAAGTGTGGGAGTAGCAGAGAGAGGACACGGAAGTTAATGAAAATGTTAGGAAAATTCGTTTCCCCTCCCACCCTTTTGTAATTTTATAAATTGGAAACTTCATTATAATTCTTGGCAAATATGACTTTTACAATAAAACAATGAGTAAGATCAAAATCTAATTTTAGTCCCTTGATACATTAATTATTATTCTTTTTTTCTTCCTAATTTTAATGTATTAATTAGATTTCATTATAATTATAATTTTCATTTCATTCATTGTAATATATTTTAGTGTAAACATTTAGATAAACTAATTTTTGTTATACAACATATTTCGATATACTTTGTTTTCTTCATTGAGATACATTAAATTCATTATAATACATATCGGTGAATACATTTAGGTACACATATTTCGGTGCATACATTTAGGTACACACATTTCGGTACATACATTTCGGTACATACATTTCAATACAAACATGTGGGTACATTACATTTCGGTACATACATTTTTGGTACTAATATTTCAGTGCATACATTTCGGTACACATATTTAGGTACATTAATTTAATATTGTACATTTCGATACTAACATTTATGTACATTAATTTAATATATTATATTTCGGTACTAACATTTAAATACATTAATTGAGTCTTTCAAGTTTGAAAAACGTTAAATAAAATTAATAAATTAAAAACTTTTTTTTTAGTCAAAAAATAAATTTAAATGTGTATATTAATAAATTTTAATATTTAATGGGAGACATTGAATAAAATACACATTAATTAATAGACAAACTCATGGACCACTTCTATCGATTTTAAATCTCAATGACCATTTTGAATAAAAATTAATTTATGATTGCTTTAAATATTCTGGGTCTTGCTTTGATACAGAAGAAGAGAACTAGTGCTATGCTCGGAAAAGTTGGTCAAAACTTCAGTATGGAGCCTTCAAATTGGCTATACCTATATTCCAAGGGTAGAAAGAGAGTGACAGAAACAGAGGAAAGGAAATAAAGAGAAAGAGATGAGAGGGAGGAAAGGAATATGGAGATGAAATGTAAGAAGAGTGGAAGGAAAGAAAGAAATAATAGAGAAGAGTGGGAGGAAAGAAAGAGGTAAAGAATAAAGAAGAAATTCATAAAGAATAGAGAAGAGTGGGAGGAAAGAAAGAGATAAAGAAGAAAGAAGAAATTTAGAAAGAGATTAAGAAGAGAAGAAAAGAAAGAATAGTGAAGAGTGGGAGGAAAGAAATAGGTAAAGAAGAAAGAAGAAATTCAGAAAGAATAGAGAGGAGTGGGAGGAAAGAAAGAGGTAAAGAAGAAAGAAAAAAATTCAGAAAGAATAGAGAAGAGTGGGAGGAAAGAAAGAGATAAAGAAGAAAGAAGAAATTCAGAAAGAAGAGTGGGAGGAAAGAAAAAGATAAAGAAGAAGAAATTCAAAAAGAACAGAGAAGGGTGGGAGGAAACCCATCCCCAAGACGGCTAGGTCGGGGAAAAACCCCAAGTTGCTTCCAAATCCAAAGGCATAGCTTTTAGGATTTTAATTTTTAAATATTATTGTTTTTAAATATTTTAAATTTTTTTAATATCCTCAAGGGCCCATATTGACATGTGACGACCAGTCATTATCCACGTGGGCGCCACGTCATTAGTTAACAGAGATTCTGACGGAAAACTTAATGGACATATGAAAATGTCCCAAATTATGACTTTAGGTACCAGACTAGGACTAAAAAAACTTGACGTATGAAATGTTGAATACCACTAAAATTTAGGATAGTATATTGAGTTTAATCTTCTTCTTTTTTAACAATTAAATCTAAAATATCATGGAACCCCCTTAGTATTAGGGTTTATTGATATTTTTCTTCGATACCAATTTATTCCGTCGTCCATTTAATATATGTATAAAAATTCTAAATTATCTTGAGAGTTTTGAAGGTTCCTTGTACAACATATCACCTCCATTACTCGCATTTGTGATGGACATGAGTGTAGTGGAATGGTCACTATATATGAGTACACTCGGTGCCTTTTATTTGAGGTTCTAAACTCATCTCAAACAACGCTAAATAAATTTAAATGAAATTGACTTCAAATAACGTAAAAGTTATTCGTGGTGAGTCACTTTTTATTTATAATTCTCTTATATGACTACTAACCAAAGTGTAGAGATAACTCATAAATCGGAAAGATTTTTAGGGGTTTTTTGAACTTTAATCCTTGAAGAAGATTAAAATTTAATAAAAACCTGGTATTAGATTGGATATTGATTTTAGTCCTTAAATGTGTATTTAATTCAAATTCATCTTATATTTTTTAATATTTAATAGTTATCTTATTTAATGTCATTACTTTAAATTTTAAATTTATTATCATTAATCTTATTTAACTTCCTCTAATTAGTGTATCTGTAACATCCCACATCGCCCAGGGGAGTGATCCTTAAATGTATATTTTCATCCCTACCTAGCACGAGGCCTTTTGGGAGCTCACTGGCTTCGGGTTTCGTAGGAACTCTGAAGTTAAGCGAGAAGGAGGTCAGAGCACTCCCAGGATGGGTGACCCACTGGGAAGTTGCTCGTGAGTTCCCAAAAACAAAACCGTGAGGGAATGGCAAGCCCAAAGCGGACAATATCGTGCTACAGTGGTGGAGATGGCCCGGGAAGTGATCCGCCCCGAGCCGAGATGTGACAGTATCTAAACGTCCATATCATAATATATTTTACCAAATTAGTGTACCAAAATATCCGTATCTAAATATATTATAGTGAATTAGTAGCACATAAGAAAATATTATACACATTTTAATTCATTACTTTAAATTTTAAATTTATTATTATACACATTTTAATTCATTAATTTTATTTAACTTCCTCTAATTGACAGTATCTAAACGTCCATATCATAATATATTTTAGCAAATTAGTGTACCGAAATATCTGTATCTAAATATATTATAGTGAATTAGTAGCACATAAGAAAATATTATACACATTTTAATTCATTACTTTAAATTTTAAATTTATTATTATACACATTTTAATTCATTAATTTTATTTAACTTCCTCTAATTAGTGTATCTAAACGTCCATATCATAATATATTTTAGCAAATTAGTGTACCGAAATATCTGTATCTAAATATATTATAGTGAATTAGTAGCACATAAGAAAATATGCAAAATCATAAGAAAATATATTATAGTGAATTATTATACACATTTTATATTGATTTTTTATAAAGATAATAAGACAAAAAACAATAGTAATATAAAATGTTGACGTGGCTTAACCGTGACCGCACAAATAGGAGAGGATGAGAGTGTATGAGAAGTGGGAGGGCAGAGAAGTCAGGTCCATTCCAAATTGGTGTTGGGCAGAATAGAAGTCTGCCATCAGACTTGTGTGGAATGGTCAACAACTTGAAAGTAATTCCACAAAAAAATAAACAGCTTGGAAGTAACTCCAAAGCTACAAAGGACTCTAATCCCTTTTATTCTTGAAACTGAATCAAAATAACTTATATTATTTTTGAAATTGATCAAAAATAAGCCACACTTCCAAGAAAGACGGAAAGGTTCGAATGTGCGTTGACTACAGGGATCTGAACAAAGCAAGTCCTATCCACGTAGAATACCCTCTTCCTCGTATTGACGTTCTAGTCGATAATACAGCAGGAAATCGGATGTATTCATGGGCAGTTTCTTAGGATACAATCTGATGTTGATAGCAGAGTCAGATGAGGAGAAACTCACATGTCACATCCACAACATCCTGGGGAACCTACTGTGACAAAGTAAAACCTTTCAGATTAAAGAATGCCATAGCAACCTATCAAAGAGCCATGCTAGGAATAACCAATTCATGGGGCCGTTGCCTGTAGATCGTTTTTTTTTTTACATTCCTAGTTGAAGTGAATTTTCTAAAGATAAAATGGATTATGGGAGTGTGTGACTTGAACTATTGATTGGGCCTTCCAGATTGGACACAAACAAGCACACCTGCTAAGAAGTATCGTTAATTTCTGCATTCTCGTTCCAAGTTCAAAGTACCATTTGTACAAATAAGAATCCCCTTCGTTATATGATTTCTTCTTCATAAAGATAGATATAGGATCTATGGAGCAATTACTTAGAATTACAAAACTTAGTTAACGCTACCATCTTACTTTTAGTAAGCAAGCGTTTCAATTCCCCGAAAGCTCATGTAATGCCTTATCGAGCCAGTCCAAATCATGCGTTTATGATCCCGGCATGCGGAGGGCAAGTATCTCTTGTCGCCTGATCTCAGTACATCTATATTAAGCTTACGGCACACTTCCGTTAAGGTCTATTTCTTATTGAATTAACCGATCAACTTAACTTGTTTTGTTATCGAACATTTATTTTTTATTTCAGTAATTTTTGCAAAAAATTTTGACATATTTTATTATAATGTGAAATTCTTTTTGCTTTCCACAGGAACCAGGAGATTGGATCTAGCTGTAAGAAGAATGCTTGGCTAATTCTCGGTAAACAAAAGCCTACATAGCTGTTCCAATGCTACGCCTTGAACCACTCGACCACTTCTCCTTCCTCTAGATTCATTGTATGCTTTGGATTTTTTATCAATTGCATTGACCTTTTTTTTTTTCTAGGTGACGGCACCTGGAACCGCACAACTTCTGCTGCCCTTTGGGCACGCCTCATATGCTCTTGCGGCATGCCCTCTTCGGGCAATACGGCTTTCGTGAGTAATACGGGAAGCAGCTGAGCAATGAGATACGATAGCATGGTAGAAAGATTCAAATATTTCTTTCTACCATACTATTTAGTATTGTAAATTATAGAATTACATCAAAATTACACACTATTTCTGAAACTAAACAAAAATAGCCGTACTATTTTTTAAACTGAACCAAAATAATCTACATTATTTCTGGAAGTGAACCAAATAAACATTATTTATGAAGTTACAACAAAATAACCTATACTATTTCTGAAACTGAATCAAAATAATAACCACACTATTTTTGGAATTGCAGCAAAATAACTCATATTATTTCTAAAATGGAACAAAAATAATTCACACTATTTTTTGAACTATAATAAAATAACCGATACTAATTTTGAAACTACAGCAAAATAACAATACTATTTCAAAAACTGAACAAAAATAATCCACACTATTTCTTAAAGTGAACAAAATAAACACTATTTCTAAAAATACAACAAAATAAGAATGAGGTTGAACTACAAACACCCAAAACAGATCCAAAAAAAAATCCATCTTCTTTCCCAAAACTAAAAACAAAAAGAAAATTAATTACCAAATAACTGTTAATGTGCCAAATGTATAGAGAAACAGAGATTAATTGGGGGAAATTCCATTTCTAGAAAATTGTTGCAAAAATATATATAATTTGATAATTTAATTAATTAAAAAAGTTGGGAGGAGTTGGAGAGAATTAGAAGCTTCCACTTGTTGTCACGGTTTATATGCAGAGGGCAAGATGCAACTGAGGTAAAGTCTATATCTCCTACACAGGCATACAGCCTTCCCTGGTTTTGCATCTTCAGATTTCAGAAGGCATACAAGTTATCTGCCGCCTGACTTATGGGATAAATTGCCATTCTAAGTTTCATACCAACCGAAGGCTGTCCATAAGAATGGAAGGCGATCCCCATCCCTTTACCGAACTAAGAAACATGGCTTCCATGTCAGTATCGACCCATGGAGACTGATAAAGTTGAGCAAAGAGAAAGCATTGACAGCAGCAGAGAAAGGATTTGAACCACTACCGTTAGAGACCAAATGTGGACCACCGATGATGAGCACACATAATAAAAGCGCGGCCACTGCAGGATCAGGCTTAACACCTCTGATATCCAAAGGGTGGATGCCATGGTCACCCGGCGGAAAGTTTTGAAGCCCAAGAAGGCGGTTTTCTGGCTCACCAACCATGTTCTTTGGCTTTGTGCCCTCACCAAAGAACAAGTAGAGAGAAAAAAAAAAAGTACAAGTGGAGATAATTTTGACTTGAAATTGACAGAGGCGTAATTTTACATTCATGGAAATGCATGTTAATGTTATTCATGTTGTTCTACATCAAACTAATATTGCATAATAGATGTGGGTGAGGCCAATCGACCAGGGGCCGTTCCATAAAGTAGTATAAAATGTTGCTTTGTCAAAAACATAATTACCGAGATTGCCTAACATTTGGCATCATCGCCGAGCTCCTCTGTGTGAACAATTACATTTGGCTTCAATGGAATAAATAGAAAACTAACTCTAAACAAGTGTTCTTTCATAATTAATTGTAATAACGGTGAATATTAAGGACAAAAGTAACATCTTCATACCAAATTTTGTGAGAGATTTTTCAGTGTGCCATGAACACGGCTTGATACACAAAGTGTTATATTACAAGTGATTCGATACTTGAAAAAAAAAATCTAATCATTGTATTACGACACTTGGTGTATCAGACCGTGCTCTCGGCAGATTGAAACTTTTCTTCTTGTTTTGAAACCAAACTGGGATGCACCGATAACAGCTGGCAGCCTGGCACCGATAAATAGCCCATCATAAGCCCATAAAAGGCCCAATTACACCATTACAGAGATGGAAATCTTCTCCAACTCGTCAGAATCGGAACTCAGAAACTCAGAAGAGAGTGAGCGAGAGAGGAAGAGGAAAGATAACAAGGAGAGTTGAACGGTGCTGTTTCGCAAGCCATCTTCTTCCACGAGCCGAAAAAGCTTCGTCCCAAAACCTGCAACTTTCTCCGGGTCAGTTTCATCCTCCTTTTCCTATCTCCTTGGGTTTTTTCGTTTGGATTTTTCTGTTGCATTTGCATATTCTAATTTTTTGGGGTTTTCGAATACTGTGCACGTAGTAATTCAATTCTCATGTGATGTAAATGATCGTTTGAACCCTTTGAGTTGTTTTAAGATTAATCTTAATTTTGATAATTAATCAAAAGTTTAGAATTGAAGTTGTTATTTTAGTTGCTTGGATTAGGAAATATTTCTACAAGCCTTTGGAAAATTAAAGTTTTATCTCAATGGGATTTTGAATGGAATGTTGAATTTCTGTTACTTTGTGTGCTAGCTTGGTATGTGGATTGATCATATGAATTTTGATCAAGTTGTATAGGAGTATGGCAATGAGAGTGCACCGTGTTTCACTCCAACAGAGTGGCGTTTGTTCCTTTGTGGTTGAGTATACGGAATTTATCCCATCGGAATGATGGATTTAAGTATCTGTGACGGCGGATGCATTTGGAGGGAAAGGAGGGTCTGATTGTATTGTAGTTGAGGATATGAAAGTGGATATTTGAAGTGTTTCACCAAGTTTTGTAAATTTAGGAATCAAAGGAAAAACTAAAATGACAGGACACACTAAAAGTATTAATAGAGGCCATATTCCCATAACATAATCCACCGCCTAAGTCATGTCCTAGGTTTCGGGCGGGACATAAATGTATTGGTTGAACCGGTAGTTGTCTGGAGCTTTTGGTGAATATACTATGTTCTTATTAGCTTTGTGCTAGAGGCTATGCAATTTGCCCTGGTTTTTTCTGGAGGTCTCAGGAAGATAGTCATGGTCGTTATTTCTTGTGGATTTTATGGTCTAGCATCTTATCATTAAAACACATTCCTTTTCTAATTTTTCTTTACTTTTTGCGTTAAAGTTAGTGTTCAAAAGCTCGACGTTACATCAGTCTTTGCTGTAATTGTAATTCTTGGTGTTTGCTTTATGCTGTAACAGATGGAGGGGAGTTTTGCTCATGAGCTCTACTCAGAAAGTTTAAGCCTATCAAAAATACAATTGGATGGTGAACCCAGTGCAAACAGTATAGAAAGTGATCAACAAGGTATTTTAATGGTTTAAAGCACTCTTTTTTCCGTATAACATGGTCCACCTATGATATTCGTTGATGTCATCATATAGTCAGCCGTAGATAAGTAAATGCATAGGTTTTAACTGGTGAATGCATTTAATTTCAGAAAAATAAAATTGTGTAATAAAATTGTGTAATTGGACCCGTAAGTTCCTTCATTCTTTGTTGATTCCTAGGTTGTCAAGGATACCTAATGAGCTGCATTAAATCTTTGTTTTCCTTGGAGCTTATCATACAATGGAGTGTTTTCGTATTAATGCACGTAAAATTTGAATTCAACGTGTGATGTAGTAAATGTGAAACAAAATACTCCAATTAATCAAAACACAGTCATCCATATGCACTCCGATGAGTGAGTATGCTGTCCGATATCACTGGAGTGAGAAAGGTAATCTTTAAAGGATAAATGGTCTAAATTGTCACACTTGTAGTATGTAAATGAAGCTCTTATTTGCCTTTGAGTATTGCTCTTTCAAGGTTTCTGCTTTTGTATTAGTTTTATATCTTCTTGCCCACCACGTAATTCTTCTAGCATATGGCTGTTCTCTGTAGTAAGATTCCTGGGTTTAATGTTTTCTTGCAGACCATGATGGGGTTGAATCGTGTGATGAAGATGGATCTTGGTATGCTTCTGATGATGAATTGCATGAACAATCTGCTTTGGGCCGGGAATGGCAGCGGAGACATAACCAATACCATACGGTTGTTGACAGTTCGGACATACTTTTGTCATTATCTGGGTTTAGTTAGTTGTTTTACATGCATAATTTAGGTAGTTCTCTAATATATGCCTTATTTATTGATAAATATGTAGACTGGTTACCGTGATGGTGTAATAGCGGGAAAAGAAGCTTCTTCACAAGAGGGATTTAATATTGGCTTTAAGAAATCAGTCCTTGTTGGGTACAACTGGGGTCTTGTCAGAGGTGTTACTAGGTAATATAAAGAAGCAAATATTTTTTTGTTGTAGTAATTTCTCACTTTCGAAATTTTTGTACTGTTCGGAGTTTCTATATTATCTTACTTTAGTTTTGTTTTCTTCTCTATCCATTCTGGCGTATCTTCCATCCACAGTGCGCTGGCTTGCCTTCCAGATGGTTTAAAGGAGAAGTTGATTGAAACAGAAGAACAACGAAATGGATTTCAAAGATTGTTGAATTAGTGCATTCTATGTCAACAAAAGATGCCCTCGGGTATTTGTACGATGATATGATAGCCAAAAAAGATAGAGAACAGAGTGAAATTTCTGATACTAGCGGTTCTCTTGAAGTTGGCTCGCCAGAGAAAATAGCACATGTTAGCGGCCTAGGCAGTCAATTTGCAGAACTCCAGTCACTTCTTGTCAAGTGTCCTGCAATTAACGTACATCTACCGTAGACGAGATTATTGTTGTAATTTTGTTAGTATTTATTTGACATTTGTGAATTTAAGTTCTGAGAGTTATTTGCTAGAGTTCCATATCATAGGAATCTTAAATTTTGAGAAGTGTTTCCAATTGGATTCATTCTGTTTATATATGATCTTGCGGGAAATCTAATTATAATTGTTTTCTTTTGCTACGATGCGATAGTAAGACCTTGTGGATATAAGCAACTTATGAACAACTGAAAGTTATTGTAGCATGCATGAGCAATTTTTCTTTTCTGCGATACAAGTGATATTGGGAGAGTCGGGAATCGAATACAGGAACTCGAGAGTGGAGCTAAACGCTCCTAACTGCTTGAGCGACAAGTCAGTTGATACTTGACATGCATATTAAGCAAACAACCATATATATTGTTTTGGAGGCCAGTGCCTCCTGCAACAGATGAAATGGTAGCAAATCACACCATAAAACATTAAAATGTCATTACATATATTGTTAATCAAAGTACACAAGCATGGAGCTGTAGGAGAACCACTCTCGAATCGTCACTGCATGAAGCTGTCTCCTTCCTCTCCAGAAATTCTGAAAGGAGCCGAGAAACAGTGAGTTGTGTTCTGCTGGAACTGTAGTTCTCCTATATTCTTGTGCCTTTGCTTCAGTAGCTTATAGATGTTGCAGTCTTTTCACCTGCACAACAATATGAGAATGGTTCCCTTTGTTATTTGATGAACGCGCTCATGAACAGATATTAGAATTAATTATCTGAAGGCTTGGAGATAGTGATTATATATTCACCTCAGTAACTATCATCAGCTACAAGCTTGCATAGGTCTTGCGTGACTGAAGCCTGTTGATGTATGCCGATGATGTTTTCCCACTTTGGGCGCTGGCATGACCGTTTCGAAAGCTGCAACAAGCAGTGCCACCTTCTTCTTCCTTGCAGGAGCAAGTTTTGTGACAGCTTGCTGGAGTGCATAGTCAAGCATCCATTCATCTGTATTTCTTGTTGTCGATAATCTGATGCCTGAGGTCAACCTTTTCTGGTTCGGGGTCAGGAACCAAAGGCAGGTAATTCGGTTCTCTTGGATTGAACTTCCTTTGCTCCTCCCCATCCATGTTGAGTTTCTTGCATTTGATTCTTTTCCAGTAGTTGTAGGTGTTGGGAAGTTCTTGGTCGAAGTTGCTTGCTGCTTCAGAAAATTTTCTCTTCATCCCAGGGCTAATGCTATTATTGGCCGTGTTGAAATTTTTTGTGGCTTCTGGCTCTGAATTGTTTTCCACTTCCATGTTATCAGGTTCTCCTGTGTTGTTACCAAAGATATCTGATTTTTTCAGCCTTAAATCACTTTGATCCTCAGATTCATTGGAACTTGAAATTTTGGGCTTTGTGTACTTCCCTTTGGACAGGTTACCATCTTCAGCAATGTCATAATGCTGGAAAGGTTCAGTCTTCTTGCCATCATCATAATCGTCAACCTTGACAGCATCTTCATCAGCTTCAGAAGCATCATGCACCGAATCAGAAAGCTGAATCTCCGGTGATGGTTTGACATCACCAATTTGCTCTGTTGCTTCCATTTGATTTTCAGGAACCCCTGCAGGGAGTCCAGGTTCCAAGCCAAAGTCACCAGTTGCAACATTTTGATTTGTTTCAGAATTCTCTTCATCAGGTCTCCCGTTGCATCCTGCATCTGTTTCAGCATCATCTGTGTCGCAGATATCCTGAGAAGGAATAGAAATTCGGTCTCCTGTCAGCGTACTTGTTTCATCTTCATGAAATGTATTCTTTGGTTGGTTATCTGAAGCTTCATCTGTCTCCACACTGGTGTAGTTGCTTTCAACATCTCCAAGGTGAGAGCCGATCTCATGATCCTCTGCTTCAAAACATTCATTTTGTTCTTGAATTTCCTCACCAGTTCCTGTTAGTTCCTCAGTTGGCTCCTCTGTTGAAGATATTTCTATGCAATCTGTATCCGATAGTTCACTGCCTCCTTCAAATGCATCCTCAGTGTAAGAAAGTTGGTCGTAACTCCATCTTTCATACTCTTGCTCAGACTCTTGAATCTCAAAATTCTGTTTAATGACATCCTGTTCACTGACATCACCATCATTCTGCAGTACTCCATAATAATCCTGAATCATATTATCGCTGTTACCTTTCATTGCGTCAGAGTTGATCAGCGATTCTTCTTGCTTATCAGTGTCTTGAATTTTTGTTGAACACCCGGCATTTGGAACAGATTCATAATCACCAAGCACTGTAGTGGCAAATTGCCCTTCCTCCCACTCCATGTCAATACTTTCAGAACTGGAATAATCAATTTCAGTGCTTGAAAGGTCTTCAGAGTCGCTCTCTTTCAAGCAGCTTCCAGTGGAATTGTCTTCTTGATCTGACTGTGGTCCGTAGTCTTCATCTGCATCTTCTTTTTGGTCTTCTTCAGGAAATTCTTCGAAGCTTTCTGCCTCAGATTCACTCTCCGAATGCGGTGATCTATCTGACAGGTTCTCCACAACTAGGTTGTTGGCATAATTTTCTGTTTCTGCTTCATCACTTGCATCATTTGGAAACGCAGGACCCTCGTAAACTTCTTGTTCTCTACAAAATCAGCTCCTGCTTTCCTTCCAATTGCCTCGGTGCCATCTTCCTCGTTTGTAGCATAGAATTCAACAAAGAAATCCAAAGCAGCTTCTTTCTCTGCAATTTTTTCATCCTCATCAAACAACATTTTCTGCAAATGAATTTCTTTTATTCCATCATTACATCGCTTTGCTCTGCGTGGACTCAGAGCTTGCAATTTCATCATCTTCTGGGTCTTCAACGAACGTCTTCTTGCAGACAAGAAACTCTTCAATGGGGGCACAGGCGAACGATGATGGCCATTAAGAGAACAGTACGTATACGGGCAAACCTTCATGATTGAAGTTCCCTCAGCTTCGGTTCCCCCAGGACTAATCGTCAGATAGTCAGGAAACTTTGCATCCTTCAGTGTTGAAGAACAAGTTGCTCTCTGAACATTCGCATCTGCACAAAGAACAACCCTGGAAGTTTTTTTCGCCGAAGCTCTTACCGGCTTAAAACTAGGGGACTTCATTAAAGTTCTCACAAGCTTCAAACCAGATGTCCTTGCTAAACTTCTTTCAGGTTTACTAGAAGCAGAGCTAAGCTTTGAACTGCCTGAATTTTTTCGGTTCTGGTTCTTACTATCCGAAAATATAGGCGGAGAACTTCGAAGACTAATCTGTGACTGCTCCTTCCTTGCATGAGAACAGCTGGTGGGCTTCATGTAGTTTGGCGAGCCATAAGTTGTCTTGGTCAGAGGCTGCTTCTGAGGGGAAGCCGCAGTGTTAGGAACATTCAGAGGCAGCGGTGGCGGCTTTCCTGGCTGAGATAAGTTCTTCCTCAAAGTTGATGATCTCAAGCTCTCAACATCTGAAAGCTTGATTGATCTAGATTTCTTCATCTTCTTCTTCTTCTTCAAATCAGCTCCTCTGTGTTTCCCATCTTGGAACTGAGAAGAAGTCTTCAGGCTTGAAAACCGCTTCTCGAATTTGTCATGATCAGCTTGGATTCCAAGCTTGTTTGGCACCTTTCTTTGGACCATATTGAAAGGAAAACCAGAAGCGAAGACAATTCAAAGGTCACAGAGGAAAGCAATTCCCTCTTGTCCCATGCTTTGTTTTTGCATGGAGAGATTGCATTGGGAAGGCAGGAAAGGGATTCTTGGAAGCCAAAGAAGCAGAGATTCCATGGGAGTTTTTAGCTTTGGTTTCCTGCTTGTTCGGCAGATGATGGGTGTTTCGAATAAGGCTGAGACAAGAGTCTGATGCTGCATGCACTAACAGGTGCGTTTTGGGTCCCTTGTTTTTTTCTGGCTTTTTAATTTTTTTTTAATTTTTAATTTTCATGAATTATCTTCGTTTATTTTTTTTTTTTTCAGAAATTAAATTATGAAGTTTGTGACATGAGAAGTCTACATATGGCACTCACTTGTTTGTTATTTCTTGATAAGGTAGAGTAGAGTTTAGACAAGAATCATATCTTTTGCTTTTCTGACCTAAATACCCTCCATTCTTGTTTGTTATTTCTTAATGGGAATTGTTATTGGCCCTCCAAAAATCTCATTCTCCACTCCAAACTTTCTATTTTTTGACAGAAAAATACATTTCTGAGGAGTGTAGAATAAGATTTTTGGAGTGCCAATAACACTTCTCTTCTTAATAAGGTATCAACAGTCGAGATTAAGGCATAAAAAAACACATCTATTTATTTATTCCCCACTCTTGATATTAGATTCAGGATTGATGACCATATATTCATTGATCACTCGTGATTAGGAGAACATTTATAATACTAGACATGCTATATACCTACTACTACTATATGTTCAATTAAATTGGAGAGAGGCCACTTACTACTACGGTATAGTAGTATTCATCTTCACTTGTAAGTGAGAAGTCTTAAGTTCGATTCTCGTCAGATGCGAATTTGAACTACATTATTGCTAACTCATTGTGAGGCTTAACCCACTTCTCAACCTCTTAGTGCAGATAATATTGTTTATTAAAAAAATATTAAATTGAAGAGAAGATTAGTTGAACTAATTAGTAGGCTCGAATATTTGTTGTACCTTTCCAATTATATAATGAGGTAGAAAAGCCACCTACCAATTAAACAAAGGGAGTTAAATCAATGTTTCTCTTAAATGGTATATGAAGCATAATAGTGTCGATGTTGTGATACAAGAAAAATATTTGTTAACTTGAAAGTGATGAATTGTCTTGATGATTAAGATTATTTTGTTTTAACGCACTCGTTCTCGGTTCAAACCCTTTCTTCTTCTCCTTAGACCAAATTAAAACAGTTACATCGCTTGCTTGCTTGTATTAACGAAAAGAAAGATATTCGAGAAAATAATGGGAAAAAAAAAAAGAAAGGTGGAAAAGGGTATCATGGTAATTTCACAAGGAGTTCAATTTTATTTTATTTTGTGTGTAAATTCTAAATTGGAATCGATATTTTTTATTTATGTTGGTGGATTTCATTTCTGTTTTCATTTAGAGTTATAGGTTTGCGTCCCAGCTTCCATGGATAGTTTTTGGGCATTGTTTTACTTGACGTCTTAAACAAATGAGGTTTAGTTATATTATTATTAGATCCAGACTGCAAAATTCGTTCTTCATTCTTATTCTAAAGAAAAGATTTTTATTATCTTCTAAGCTGAAATTTGGGCGGGCAATTTGTAATTGCACTTTTACTTGATTTGGTATTTTATAATCATATGAATGTAACGTATAATTTTCAATTTTCATTGTATAACTAACAATCCAAGAAGACGCTTTATGTATTTCTTGCAAAATTCAAATTAAGAGTAAATTGTACAAATGGTCCTTCAACTTTAATCAAATTGGAGCAATGGTCCCTCAACTTATCAAAATGTGTAGCTATAGTCATTTTCATCAATTTTGTCAAAATAAGCTATGTTGGAATGACCATTTATATAATTAGGGTCCCTCAACTCATCAAAGTGTATAATTATTGTTCTTTTCGTCAACTATGTCAAAAAATTTGTCAAAACGAGTTATATTGGAAGGACCATTGCTACAATTGGGTTAAAGTTAAAGGACCATTTCTCCACTTGAATTAAAGTTCAGGGACCAATGGTAATGGATTTTTAGTTGAGGGACCATAGCTGCACGTTTTGATAAGTTGAGGGACCAAAGGTAATGGATTTTTAGTTGAGGGACCATTGCTCCAATTGAGTTAAAGTTAAGGGACCATAGCTACAATTTACTCTTCAAATTAACTACATATGATATGACGTCGCTACTTTCTACCAATAACTGTTGCTTTTTTCTAAGGCATTCCTCCCAATCCCACATTCCTACATGCCATGTTACCTTGTATATTTGTGTGTTTCCAATTTTCAAACAGATTAATCATATTGTGGAGGAAAAAAAAAAAAAAAAATTTAATGAAAAGCTCCAAATGTTGTTCAATTTAATGAAAAACCACATTTTTACACTAAAAAGTCAATCATGGTACTATTCACTTTAGCATTTATTTTGTCCTTATCGTTAAAACTCAAAATTTAATTTTAAGCAATTTTCATTAGTTTTCCTAAAAAAAAAAGGAAAATTCTTAAGGGCATCTTTTGCCTTAGAAACCATTGAAGGGCTTAAACCGTAGGTTTTAATGCCCAAATTCCTAGATAACTTAAATCCGTAATCTAAGCTTTAGAGTCTAGGGGTGGGCAAACAGATAGAGGAACCGCGGGTCGGGGCGGGTAGTCTAGGTTTGGGTAGGACGGGGTAGGGCAGGGCGATGTTAATTACAAGACGAGCCGAGTCCATATACTTAGAAAAACGAGGTCTTGGACCGACCCGTTTCTAATTATAATGAACAACTGAGATTGAATGATAACCTATCATCGAATCTCAACTAAGGGTGGAATAAAATACCAAAAATTACCCTTAGATGAATTATTAGGCTTTTGGTATCCTAATTGGGATCACAAGCAAGGTCTAAAATATTATCGGCGATATTTCGCCAATAATATCGTTTTTGTGAGAGGGCGATATTTTCACACTTATTCACTTAATTATCGTCAAAATATCGCTCCACCTTCCTAACAGGCCTAAGGCCCGAGGGTTATGGGAAACGGCCTGAATGGCCTGCGCTCGTCGGGAACCAACAAGGAAGAACAGAGAAGAACGCCGGAGCTTCTACAGCTCCGGCCGACTGCAAACTACCACCCTAGACCTCGATCTAGGTACCAAACAAAAGCACAAGGCGAGAGGAGTGCGTTTATACCTTCCGTTTACCGTGAAACGACATGTGGTGGTCGGAAAACCTATCGACACCCACGGCCTCGCCGGAGATGGGTGTGCCTATTCTTGAGCAGATTTCATCCCAAAAACCTAACCGGAGAAATTCAAGAAACTCGCCGAAGGGTTCCTGCGTTCGCTGAGTTGCAGAGACGAGAAGGATAGGGAGCAAGACGAGGTTGCTGATAACGATGGGTGTCTTCCTCGAGCAGGTGCGATGGTGTGAGTGTGTATGTGGGTCTCGGTGCAGAGAGAAATGAGAGATATGAGAGTTTCAAGAGAGAGAGATAGAGAATGCAGAAAAGAAAGAAGAAGAAAGAAGGGGTTACGGGGTAGGGGATAGAAAGAGAAGAATAAGGATTGTAGAGGTGCTACCACATGACAGTTTAAGAGAGAAGAGAATCTTAAGTATAGATCCGGATTGGGTAAAGGAAATTAGGACTAAATTGATAGCTCCATAAATATTTGGGGAAATACAAAATTAAGCATTATATTTGGGGGTTGGGGTGTTACATTCACTGTCTCACTCACTCTCTCTCCTCTCTCTCTCCCTTTCTCCTCGTCCTGCTCAACTGCGGTGGTGCCTCTCTGGGTAAGCAAATCCAAATTGGCGTTCACCCAAAGCTCGATGCCGACGTCGATTTGTGCGTTTGCGCTCGACCACACCATATGCAACTCCAATGTCTGCTTCGATCGATAAATCTTTTATCTAGTTGGGGTTCATCGACTTGT